CGTCAACCAGCTCGCCCACTGCTGCAGGTCGGCTGCTCCCCTCACACCCGACCACGAAGTCGGCTCCTCCCAAGCGAGGACGGGGCCAACTCACAACTCCTGTTGACAGTGTAAGCGTATTACTTAACCTTATGGTTTAAACTAGGCGCAAGTGCATTACTTACCCCTATGGTTGGTACTAAGAGAATCTGCATTACTTACTCGCATGGTTGGTAGTAAATGGGTTACGTATCCATGAGGTTGGTACTAGCTGTAAGTGAGTTACTTACCCATGTGGTTGGTACTAATTGTAAGTGTGTTACTACCCTTATGGTTGGTACAAGGCGTGAGTGATAATACTCACCCTTATGGTTGGTACTAAGAGTATGTGCGTTACTTACCTTCGTGAATGGTACTACAAGTCACTGTGTTACTGACTCGTGCGGCTGGTACTAAGGAAAAGTTTGTAATTTACCCTTCAAGTTGGAACTAAGAATGTGTGCGTTACTAACCTGTGTGGTTGGAACTAAGAGTCTGTGTGTTACTTAAACGTGTAATTGGAATATATGCGTAAGTGCACCACTTACACATGTGGTTGGTACCAAGAGTAAATGCGTTACTTACCATTTCGCTTGGTACTAAGAGTAAGTGCATATCTTTCTCTTATGGTTTGTACTATGAATAAGTACGTTACTTACCTGGTTGGTTGGTACTAAGAGTACTTGCTTTACTTACCCGTGTGGTTGGTACTAAGAGTAAGCGCGTCACGTATTCGTGTGGTTGGTGTTAACAGTAAGTACGTTTCTTACTTGTGTGGTTGGTACTAAGAATCAGTGCGTTACTTACCCGTGTGGTTGGTACTAGAAGTATGTGCGTCACTTACCCGTGTGGATGGTACAAATAGTAAGTGCGTTACTTACCTATGTGGTTGGTACTTAGAGTAAGTGCGTTACATACCCTTCTGGTTGGTACTTGGAGTAAGTGCGTTACTTCCCCTTATGGTTGGTACTAGAAGCAAGTGCGTTACTCACCCGTGTAGGTGGTACGAAGGATAAGTGCGTAAATTCCCCGGCTGGTTGATACTATGAGTTTGTGCGTTACTAACCCGTGTGATTAGTACTAAGAGTAAGTGCGTTACTTGTCCGTGTAGTTGGTACTAGAATATGTGCGCTACCCTCCCATGTACTTGGTACAAAAAATAAGTGCGTTACATACCCGTGAGCTTGGTAGTAAGAGTAAGTGCGTTACTTACCCATATGGTTGGTTTCAAGAGAAAGTGCGTTACATACTCGTATGGTTGGTACTACGAGAAAGTGCGTCTAAACCCGTGCGTTTGGTACTAAGTGTGAGTGCGCTACTTACCCGTGTGGATGGTACAAAGAGAAAGTGCGTTACTTGCCGTGGTTGGTACTAAGAGTAATTGCGTTACGTACTCGTGTGGTTGGCACTTAAAATAAGTACGTTACTCACCATTGTGGCTGGCACTAAGACTTGCGTTACTTATTCGTGTGGTTGGTACTAAGAGTAAGTACGCTACTTACCATGTAGATGGTACAAATAGTAAGTGCGTTACTGACCTGTCTGGTTGGTACTAAGAGTAACTACGTTACATATCTGCATGGTTGGTACTTGAAAGTAAGTACGTTACTTACCCCTGTGGTTGGTACTAAGAGATGCGTTACTTACCCGTCTGGTTGGTACTAAGAGTAAGTGCGCTACTTACCTGTGTGGTTGGTACAAAGAGTAACTGCGTTGCTTACCAGTGTGGTTGGTACTACGAGTAAGTGCGTTATCCGTGTTATTGGTACTAAGAGTATGTGCTTTACTTACCCGTGTGGTTGGTACTCAGAGTAAGTGCGCTGCTCTCTTGTGTGGTTGGTACAAAGTGTAAGTGCGTTACTTACCAGTGTGGTTGGTACTAAGAGTAAGTGCAATACATGGCCGTGTAGTTGGTTTTAAGAGTATGTGCGTTGCTTACCCGTCTGGTTGGTTTTAAGAGTGAGAGCGATACTTAAGGGCAAGTAAGTTTCCTACTTTTGCGGTTGGTACTAAAAGTAAGTGCGTTACTTACCGATCCTAAGAAAACGTGTGTTACTTACCCATATGGTTGGTACTAAGTGTAACTGCGTTACTCATCCTTATGGTAGTAAAAATAAGTGCATTGCTTACCCGTTTGGTTGGTAGTAAGAGTAAGTGCGTTACTTACCCGTCTGGTTGGTACTAAGATTAAGTGTTTAACTTACCCTTATGGTTGTTACTAAGAGTAAGTACGTATCCGTGTTATTGGTACTAAGAATAAGTGCGGTACTTACCCTTATTGTTGGTACTAAGATTAAGTGCATTACTTACCCGTGTAGTTGGTACGAAAGTGCGTTACTTACCCGTCTGGCTGGTACTAAGAATAAGTGCGTTACTATGGTCGGTACTAAGTGTAAGTTGCAACCCTTAACCTGATCCGTAATCATGCCTCATAAGCTGCACTTAAGTGTTTGGAGCATCTAGAGAGTGTCATGTTCGTTGCTCTTGCTAAGACGCTAAATCTATGCTCGCGATACTGTTTTCCTTGCTGGTGTTTGAGCTCCTGCTGCTGCCCATGTGCTTATCAAACTTTTGCTGTCAAATGGTTGTTTATGTTGTTTGTCTATTGTCCGTCCTCGAACACTTTCCCCTTCCCCGTAGCACTCATTGGCATGTGCCTCTGCTTCTCCCTTCTCCTGATAGACCTCCTCTTCTTGCTGCTGCACCACAAATTTACCACTTTACCCTATTCCATGTCATACTCAACCAGGCTCATGCATATTAGGTCACTGAGTCTGGCATCACAGAGACTGGTCCTCTGCCAGGACTTAATCACATTCTGACGGCTATGTTAACGAGAGTTGGATGTTGGCCCCATCCTCGCTTGGGCGGAGCCGACTTCATGGTCGAGTGTGCAGCCGACCTGCAGCAGTGGGCGACGCTTACTTGGGCGAGCTGGTCAACGGGTTGGTCAACCTGCACGGGGCCACTGCGAGGCCGCCGACTTTGGGACGCCGACGGCTGACTTCAACCGTCGTCGACGAAGGGGGTCATCGACTTAGGAGGGGCGCCGACTTCGGAGGGCGCCTACTTTGGGAGGTCGGCCTGGCGAGGTCGACCAGGGAGGACGCCATCCTGGTGGCGCCGACTTGGGCAGTTTGGTCGACCTAGAGGTGGTCGACCTGCAGTATAGCTAACTTGGGAGGTGGTCGTCGACCTGGGTGGTCGACGGGCACGAGGAGCAGCACTTGGTCGGTATGGTTGCCCAGTCGACCAAGTTGCCCGGGCGACGGGGATCTGCGGAGGTGCGCGATAGTCGGCCAGGTGGTTCTGGCGAAGACGACCTCGGAGGCGATATCCTGAGGTCGACGTGGTGGATAAGGTTCAGCCGTGGGTGTGTGGTCGGCTTGGCGTCTACGCTGTGCACGTGACGGGGCACGGCACGCCAACCAGCTGTGTGCACCTGCGAAGCGGGTGCGTCGCTGTCCTACAGGTGCAACGCTGTACAGCCACCTTGCAACAGCGTTGGCACGCCGTTGACCTCCAGTGTTGGCAGACCGCGACATTGCTTTACTGGAGCGCGGTCGACCTTGCAGTGCTGAAACGCGGTCGACCGTGCTGCGCTGGCAGCCGACCTGCTTGCTCGCTAGCATCTGATGTAGTCATTGTTGCCATTGTTGTTGCTACCATTGTTGTCAATCTTTGTTAGTGAAACTCTTGCCAATTTTCCCCGTAAATGCGCAAGTAGAGTGAACACGAGCAAACAACTAAGGAACGCTACGGGGTCGACACCCAGACGAAGAAAGGTGAGTCACGCCCATGTGTTTGTTTGTTTACCGGTTTTATAAATCCTTCTGAGTCTCATTGTCTTGTTTTTCATGGCAGGCAATATGAAGAAGCCACCACCTGAGCTCAGGCTCAAGTGGATCTCCGCGGCTTGGAAGTCTGTGCCCAAGGATCTGATTCAACTGGCATTTCTCACCTGCGGCATCAGCAACGCCCTGGATGGGTCCCAGGACAAGCTCTGCCTGCAACACAGGCGGGACGAGCTCGAGGGCGACGTCGAGATGGATGATGAGATTGCAGCAGGTGGGATGTGCTGCAACAATGTGGAGAAGCTTGAGTCGGACTCCGAGGCCGACCCAGATGACCCGACCGCAGCTGATGACTAGAGTAGAGGTAGGAGATCTTCTATAGCCTGTGTTCGGCCCTCGTAGGTAGAAGTGTGGTATGTTTTAGAAAGCAACCGTAGATATGTACTTGTTCTGATGATATAGTGTGACATAAAGTAGGTTGAAACCATGCCGAATCGTAAAAATTGAAAAAAAAAACAATGGTGCTTATAATCCGTACCGGTAAGCCCTTCAGGTATGCGCTTATAATCGAGGACCGGATATAAGCGCCATATGCTCATTCTAAGCCCGGGCGCTTATCTGAGGCCTGCGCTTAGTGACGGTACTGTGTCAGAATTCGAGTCTGACACAAAAAGCGTGTCAGAATTCGAAATTGTACCAGTAAAAGCTGATGCGTATAGCTAATGCGTATACAAAAGGGGGGACGTATAATGATTAGGGGCAAAAGGAAGGTCCTCACAAAACCTGCCACATTAAAAAGTCCCCCTACCCATTCAAGAGTCCCGGGGGACCTTCTTGCCGGCGGGTTCTATAGCCGGCACTATACAGTACCGTATGTGTACCGTAATTAACAAGCATCACATACATATGGATGTCATAACATTCTTAGATATCCTACGGCTTCATCCTACTCCAACCCAACACCTTCCATATTGTTAAGGCTAGTTGGTGTTCTTAATAGGTGTAATCAAGCCTTTTTCGAGAGAAAGCTATTACGCATACTTCAATAAAAGACAGCAGGAGCACAAGCGCATGCAGAGTCTATAACCCCCTTTTCTCCCAACAGCACTACTACAACCAGTCTCCCTCCCACCCACTAGAACAATCTCCAAATGTTCCATTTACCAGCACATTTCCCCACTTCCCGCCTCACTCCGGCTGCGCAGCGCGCCGCCACGCGCCCCCCCTGAGCAGGTCCCAGGCGCTGAACGATGATGCCTCCGGTGCGGGGGTGGGGGTGGCGGCACGGGGCGTGGTGACGGGGGTGCTGTAGTCGCCAGCGGCAGAGGAGGAGCGCACCGGCAGGTGGATGGAGTGGTCGGAGGAGGTGGCAATGGCAAGGGCGGGCATGGAGGGCGTGGAGGGGAGAGGAGGAGCGGCGGTGTGAGGGGCGGCAGCGCTGTAGGGCAGGAGGAAGTGGAAGGCGGGGTCCTGCTGGAGCTCGGGCGGCGGCTCCAAGTCGTCAATGTGCATGGCGGGGATGGCGAGGGCTATGTCATCCACCGTGAACGGGATGCTGGAAGGGTGGAGGGGAGGGAAGGGGTTGCCGGAGGGAGGGATGGTGGCGGGCCGGATGACAGATGGGGGGATTAGAGGGGAGAGTTGGGCATGGTGCTGTGCATAGGTAGAACTACAGCATGCACACCAGCATATTAATGCCCACGCATGCCCACCCATGCCCACCCACGCCTACCCACGCCCACCCCACCCATACTCACCCATATTCACTCGTGCACAACCATACCCATTTGTACCCACCCACGGCCCCCCTCACCTGTCGTCGTCGCGGAGCAGCATGGGGCAGTCGTCCACCATGAGCGCCCACATGCGCTCGGTGACGGAGGGGTCGACGCCCTTGGTGCCGTACGCGTCGTCCTCGTACCAGATGCACATGTGCACCAGCTGGTTCAGCGTCAGGTCCGGACACAGCTCCTCTATCTCCTCCAGCGACCGCCGCGGCTTGTGGTCCAGCGTCTGAGCCCAGGGAGATAGGGGGGGAGAGAGAGTGAGGAGAGCAGGGGAGGGGAGGGGGGGGAGGGGAAGCAGCGGAGGATTAGTGAGGGTGGGGCCAGGGTGTTGGAAGGGCATGAGAAACGACAACGACTGGGTTGCGGACACAGGCGTGGGCTGCTGAGCCATTCCACCCAGCACAGTGGGGGGATGGATGAGGCGGTGTGAGGAAGAGGAAGGTCATGCATGTTGCCAGGGAAGCGTTGTGCCTGAGGCGGCAGTTGGGGGAGATGGCTGGTATTAGCAGCAGGTCAAGGAAACACGGAGACTCACGAGGAAGTAGATGGCTCACGAGGAAGTAGATGGCCTGGCGGATGTGTCGGAGCTCGCGCTTGAGGGGCTCCTTGGTGGCGCCCATGGCGTCCCTGAGCTGCACCTCCACGTCGTGCACCCACTGCTCCAGCCGCCCCAGCCCCTCCTCCATCAGCTCCCCGTTGCTGTACGTGCACGGACACCACTGCGCGCGCACCATCAGCCTGTGAGGGGGAGGGAGAGATGGAGAGGTTGGATGAGGCCTTGCGACATGGGGAACCCATCCTTACATCCACAAGGAAGGGGCAGGACATGGAAGGAAGTGCTACTGGTGGTACTGCTGGTGGTGCTGCAGGTGGTGCAGGTGCGAGTGGGGGCGCTCACCCGTTGACGATCTTGACGTTGACGAAGAAGAGCAGCTGCCTCAGCAGCGCATCCACCACCACCGCCGGCACGTGGTTCGCTGCCAGCGTCGCCGTCACCTTGGAGCGGGAAGAGAAGGGGGTGGGGCGGAGAAAGAGCGGGTGGGTGAGGGGGGCAGGGGGTTTGAAGAATTGGATGATGGATTAATTGGAGGATAGGGATTATCGAAGGAAGGGGGGAATGGGGGGACGGGATTACATGCCATGGCATATCACTCATGGAAAAGCGATTCATGGAAGGAGCACATAGGAATGCATGTGCCACAAGCATGCATGTCACCTGCTTGAGAGTGACCACCACGTTGGCCCAGTAGTTCACCACGTGCTTCCGCACCATCGCTGCCCCCGACCGCCCCCCTCCCCTCGCCCTCCCCCGCGCCAGCCGCCTCCCCCCTCCGCCGCCCGCCTTGCCGCCCTTCCCTGCCGCTGCGTCCCCGGCTGCTGGGTCGCCGTCTCCGTCCGCTGCCGCCTCCTGAGATTCCTGCGAAGGGAGAGAGGGGAGAAACGGGAGGCATGTGGGACTGACGGTTGGGGGAGCAGAATTTGGCAGCGGCAAAAGGCAAGGCACCAAACCGGACGGGTGAGTGAGGTCTGCAAGGCACCAAGTTTGAAACAGAATCACACTTATGGATCAGACACAAACATGAGGAGAACCAGTAATAGACCCCACCCACCTGCGAGGGCAGAGCGAAGTGCTTGGCAAGCTCGGCCTTGGCGGCGTCCCTGATGGTGACAAAGAGGCGCTCCGTGCCCGTGGCCAGCTGCTGCTTGAACAGCATCACGTCCACCCTCTCCACTGCTGGCTTGGGCTGGCAGGATGGGAGGGGAGTGGAGGGAGGGGGGGGGAGGAGGGAGGGCTGTGAGTAGGTGGAAGTGAGGGAGGCGTGGGAGGGAGGATGAGGTTGAAAGGGAGGGAGACACGGAAGGGTGTGAGGGTGGAAGAATGTGAGAGGGTGAAAGAATGTGAGAGGGTGGAGTTGGCGAAGAATGAGGAACGGAACGAGGAATTGGAACAGAAGTAAGTAAGAAGGTCAAAGCGAGAGAGCACGGAATCCAGTGAGTAAGGGGTGGAGGAGAGTGAGGGGATGGAGGGAGCGAGGGGTGGATAGGGAGTAGCTGATGGAAGGGAGTGAGGGGTTGAAAGACGGCGGGGGGGTGGAAGAGAGTGAGGGGTGGAGAAGATTGACGGGTTGGAACTTGGAAGAGAGGGAAGGTTTAGAAGGGAGTGATGGAGAGGACGGAAGAGATTGAGGGAGCACTGACAGGAGCGGCGGGGCGGGAGGCCATGCCGAAGAAGGAGAAGGAGAAGCTCTCCTGCGCGGGCTGCTCCACTGGCGGCTGGTACACCACCTGGGGGCAAAACGGAGAGGAGGGTGAGCGAGCAGAGAGAGGGCGGTAGGGAGCGCGGGAGGAAAGGTACAGTTGGAAGTCGAAGGCAACTTGGCTATAGGTGCCTATGAGCGCTGCCAAACCCACCTTCAGAAACGAAGGTGGGCCAAACAGAGGGAGGAGGGGGGGAAATGCTTGTCAGTGAAGGCTTGTCACGGCTCGTTAAAGTTGGACTTCAATGTCAATATGTACTCGTACCATTTTTATATATCCTACTTTACACTGGTTGTGGTTTTTGTATAACCATATCCGATCGCAATCTTTAAGGTGAAAACTGGTGTTGATGGTGCAGTGGAGTGGTTCAAGAGCCAATTGGTTGCAAAAAAGCTTTAGAAGAAAGAAAAAATGGCCTTAAATAATCGTCGCTCCCATTGCTAAGGCAACAACATTAAGGACTTTGTTTACAAATGCATAGACGTGAAAAGATGGCATGTCAAACAGATGGATATCGCCACTACATTCTGGCGAACGCTCATTTCATTCATGCTTGCATAATTTGCATGAGCATATATAATTATGCACGGCTATCGAAATTTATCATTTAGGTGTTTTTCTTCAAGCCGAAAGAGTACACTGGAAAATTGCCTTATTACGACGAAAATCGCCTTATTACGACTAAGATCGCACAAGTTCAATATTTCAAGACTGGGAAATTTTATCGCACATGACTTTTAACGGATGTTTGGTTGGGTGGTTAGGAAGACACTTTTGACTCTTGAAATGAGGTGGCTAAAAGATTTTTAACAAGTGTTGCAAGTGTTGCAACACCTAGGCAAAATCCAACTAAATTGGATTTTGCATGTGGTACCACAAAAACCTCATGATTGGAGATGCATCTTTGCTGCTAGAAAATGTTGTTCTTATATTTCTTTAGCTCTTGGAGAGGATTTTTCTTTCACAAGGTTATCTTTGATCCTGTGTTGCAGAAGACGCGTCCAGGGTTTAGGGTTGGACGCAGGACGCTCCGGGCGTCTTTTGCAACTTAGCTTTGATCTCCCAATTTGAACATTCCATTCTCAAATGTCTATTCTTCCTCTACCATTCGAGTAAATGCAACACCTGTACGTTTTCAAATCGTTCAAACTCTCTAGCTACCAAGCGGATTTGTGTTTCCCTGAGAATGAATTCATCGTAAGCTCTCAAAGTAGCTGATCCTGGGCAACACGGACCTGCATGAGGTAGTAGAGCACGACGTGGTTGGTGAGCCAGTATGCCTGTGCGGGCAGCAGCTGGTCCTGGGAGCTGCGCTGGAAGGCCTCGACGATGCGGTCGAAGGTGTTGGTCCTCTCCGCCTCCAGCGCGCCCCACTGCAGCAGCGCGCGGTACACCATGCACGCCGCCACCGCCTGCCCCTCGGGGCCGAACGGGAAGCGGCTGCTTGCCACCTCCGCCAGCAGCAGCTCCTGGGAGGATGCGCAGGGGATGGTGGGGGAGATGGGATGAAGGGAGGAGGGAGTGAATGGATGGGGTGGGGGAGAGAATGATTGAGTGGGTGTGGGAATTGGGGTAAGAAATATCACATTGCGGTGGTCTTCCATGAAGTTGAGAAAGAGCACGTTGCAAGAACGACACATGGCACTTAGTGTAGCTAGCAACTACCACTTCTATTCTAGCCTATGCGTGTAGCGTAACACTTATACAACAGCTCGCACCTGCTGCTTATCGATGGGCAGCTCCTCCGTGTCGCTGGCTGCCTGCGATGCCAGCAGCCGCTGGCTCAGTGTGCGCACCTCCCTCGCCTTGCTGCCGTGGGGGCGGTGGTTGGGAGCGAAGATACGGGTTGGAAGGACGGGAGCGAGTGATGTATGGTATGGTGGGTGAGTAGGGGTGACCACCCACCCTTACGACCATGTATGGTAAGAAGTTGTGGTCGGTGTTCAAACTGGCCATGACGAGTGCTGCAGACAAGCATACTCAGGTGCGTTGCCCAACTCTTCTCAGGTTGCCTTGCACTCTTGTGGGTACGTTCGCAAAAGGAGGTGAGTGCGAGTTGCAGCTCCTGCTGGTTCTTCTCCGTAAGCTCCTTAATCTCCCCGTCTGTATCCTCCACACAGCAAAGCACACAACCACACAGCACAGCACACAACCACACAGCACAGCACACAACCACACAGCACAGCACACAACCACACAGCACAGCACACAACCACACAGCATAGCACGGCACACAACCAGACAACACAACACAGCACAACATACAACCACACAGCCTGAACAACTTACAGAGTAAGCGCGAGCTGCAGCTCCTGGTTCTTCTCCGTCAACTCCTTAATCTCCTCGTCCTTAACCTCCACCGTCCGCTGCAGCTCGCCTGCCCGCCCGCGCTCCTCCGCTGCCGCTGCCAGCGCCGCCTCTGATGCCGCCACCGCCTCCCGGTACAGCGCCTGCAGCTGCCGCCTCTCCTCCTTCAGCTGGGTGGGGAAAGAAGTGGGGGGAAGAAGGCCGGGGGGGAGGGGGGATGAAGGGGGTGTTTGATGTTTTTCAGGCACTGCAGTGCTGCTTCTGCTGCCACCACTGCCTCCCGGTACAGCACCTGCAGCTGCCGCCTCACCTTGAGCTGGTAGGGTAGTGGGGAGGGAGGAGGAGGAGGGGAGGGGGGGGGGGGGGGAAGGGAGATCAGCGGAGGGATGAGAGATGGTGAGGGAGATGGCGGATTAGTGAGTCAGAAGCGTCAGATTATCATCCTTTGTTGTAACCTGCATGTACACTATAAGCTTTGGGTAGAGATAGACACGCAACCCTAGTTTGGGTGTACAGCTAGAGTTAGCCCTAGTTGGGAGTTGGAACCTCGGCCCAATTATTTGGACCACAAGGTTGGGTTGGGAGATTATTAGACCCCCCAATAGTGCTGGCCCACTTTGGCCAACATTATTAGACTCCCCAATAATTCCTCAATCCAGCTTATTGGTGGGGGCCAATAATGTTTGCTCGGTTCCCAACCAATGCCCCCCCCTTCTAGCACGAGTACGTGTATACCCTCTCCTTGCGTAATCTAACGATCGCTCCTTCCTCATACTATACCTTTTCTCACAAGAAGAAGATATAGGGGTTGGTTCAAACGTTTTGCCTGTATCTTAATGCCTATATCAGAGCAAGGAAATTGCGAGAGGGAAAGGGACACCATCAAATCTACCATTCCTTACGAGATACCATCCCCTTGTCTTACCATTCTCACCTTGTGCACCCCTACGTTGGCAGATACGCCCTGGGCAGGGTTGCGTACCACGTATATACGCTTGCGTATATACGTGGTACGCTAATACGCTCGTATTTCTTGGAAATACGCCCGGGCAGCCCGCCGAAAAAAAAAAAAACGAAATTGAAAAATTTCGCGAAGGTTTTGCGACTTGGCGATTTGTTACCGCGCAGTCGCATATTGCCCTGGGGGGGGAAGGAGAGGATGCAGTTCTGGCGGATGAGTATGGGGCAGGGGTGGTGTTGGAAAAGCCCCGCAAGGAACTCGGCTGTGTGGAGGCTAGCTAGAGGGTGGGGTGGGGATGTATGGGGTGGGGAGAAGTAGCCCCAAAGATGTATCTCTGGATAATTATGAAATTAAAAAACATGTGTTTTTGGGAAACATAACCCGCCCCCCTGAAACAGGTTTTTTTAGCCCTGCCCGGGAAAAAAGTTTTACCTGCCCGCCCGGCGTATTTTTACGTATCACCAGTACGCCACCCCTAGCGTACCGCGTATATACCCAGCGTATAATACGCTAGCGTATTATACGTGATACTCGTATCTGCCAACGTAGGTGCACCCCCCTCACCTTCTGCGCCTCCTCCGCATCTCGCTGTGCACTCGCCAGCATGCGCACGGCCTCCTCGCGGGTCAGCGACTTGGCCGACACCAGCGGCCGCGGCACGCCCGGCCCGCCACCACCCTCCCCGCCTGCTCCTCCACCCATCCGCGGGTTGGACGACTGCAGCCGTCGGATCCTCGCCAGCCGTGCATCCGCACCGTCGGGCGCGGCGCCAGAGGCCCCAGCAGCATCGGCGTTAGCAGCGGGTTTGAGACTCTTCACCATGGACTGCTGCCGCAGCATGGTCCTCCCCACGGGCAGCGTGCTGGCACGAGAGTACCCACCCTCTGCCTCGCTCTCCTCTGGTCCCAGGGACGGGAACCGCACTTGCCGTAGCCCGCTGCTGCTGCCACCAAACTCCCCGGTGGCGCTGCCCCCGCTGCTGGTTCTGCTCACTGCAACCACCTTCTTCTCCTCGCCCTCCTCGCGTGACGCCGACTCTTGAATGCTCGGCAGGTGAGCCGCGTCGCCATGGGTCCGGTGCCCGCCATCATGCGTGCCCTCCCCTCCGCCTGCTGCCGCTGCACCTTCCGCTCTCTCCATCGCTGCCACTGCTGCCGCGGCTGCTGCTGCCATGCCACCCCTGCTGCTGCCAGGGGGGGACGCTATGGAGGAGGGAGGCAGGGGAGGGACGGGCGAGGAGCGACTGGAGGAGGAGGAGAAGGACGGGGAGCCGTTGAGAGCAGCACTCGCAGCACCACCCGCAGCACCGCCAGCAGCAGCGGCAGCAGCGGTTTCCTCCCACGAGGGGTGATTGGCAGGTGTGTGCGGCGAGGGGTGCCTTCTTGACGCCATGCGGGCGAGGATCCTCGACCCCTCCGGCACCCCCAGATTGCCCCCTGGTGCCCCCGCCCTCCCCCCGCTCTGCTGCGACGCCAAATGCTTGTCCACCACCACTCCCAGCGCGCCTCCTGCCAGCGCAGCCACTGCAGCCGCAGCAGCGGAGGGCGAGGAGGAGGACGAGGAGAAGCCTGACCCACCAAAGGAAGGCAGGCTGCTCAGCGCCCCTCCTCCTCCTCCTGCTCCGCCTGCTGCTGCTTTATGAGAGGCCACAGATGCCACATGCAGCACTCGCTCCTGCCCCTCCGCCCGCTCCCTGTCCTGCTCTCTTAGCATCTCCTCCAATCGCTCCTCTGCCTGCTCCGCCCGCTGCTGCTCCTGCTCCAGCTGCCCCACCAGCCGCGCCACCTCACGCGCCTTGCCTGCCAGCTCCTTCTTGGTCCGCTCCAGCTCAGCACGGACCTCTGCCAGCTGGCGCTCTGAGTTTGCACGGCTTTTTTCGGCCTTTTCCTGAGAAGGGGGAAGAGGGATTTTGATGAGGCGGGCGAGCAGTGCAGAGATGGATGAGGGAGCAAAGGGAGAGACAAGGAATTGGTGCGGCGAGGGGCAGGAAGGTAGGTGACAAGGAGTGAAAGGCTAGGCCTGCCTGAAACAAAGAGGTATCTGAGAGTGTGTATGGTGAATGCCCTGTCACACCAAGGACAATCTCATTTCCACTGGTTAGCATCACCCACATCACCAGCTATACTAGAGTTGCTCGCGAGAATTCTCACAGGCACCACTCCTACTTGCATCCTCTCACATTGCTCTCCCCTCATGGCTTCCCTCTCCTCTCACCCGCATCACGCGCAGTGTCATCATGCGGATGCTCTCACCCGCATCACGCGCAGTGTCATCATGCGGATGGTCTCGATGGCCACGTCCGTCTTCTTGCGCGGCGGCGCCAACTCCGCCTGTCGACTCGCCTCCTGCGGGTGGTTGGAGTGGGAGGAGCGGGGAGGGCAGGAAAAAGGGGAAGGAGAGGTGGCGGGAGGGGAAACTGGTTGGTATGGACGCTGAGACACGCCAGATCCACCTGCAGGCTTGCCTCCTAAACGCGAGCAGAGCAGGAGAAGCAGAAAGGGCCGGAAAAGGAGGCAGGGAGGGGGATTGGTTGGTATGGAAGGTGAGAGGCATACGCAGCGCAGGAATAGCAGAAAATCCGGGAAAAGGAAGAGAAGAGAGGGATTGGTTAGTGTGGATGGTGAGAACAGGGGAACGTAACCACTGACCAGCTTGAGGCTGTGCAGTCGGAGGCGCGCCACTCTACCCGCCAGCATGTGCTTGAGCGCCCGCCACGGCCGCCGGTGAATGTAGCCTCGCCACGTGCTCTGCAGGGGGGCGTGGTGAGAGGGAGGGAGGGGGGGTGGCACACAAGGCACGGCAAGGCGGAGAGTATCGACTTCCAGAGCTCATTGCAGGATTTTCAACCCACTGCATGCATCGCGACACCAGCGTGCCTCGTGCTGCAGCAGCGAAACCTCAGCGTGCTGCAACGCACCTGAATGCGGGTGCCTCGTGCTGCAACGCACCTGAATGCGGGTGCCTCGTGCTGCAACGCACCTGAATGCGGGTGCCTCGTGCTGCAACGCACCTGAATGCGGGTGCCTCGTGCTGCAACGCACCTGAATGCGGGTGCCTCGTGCTGCAACGCACCTGAATGCGGGTGCCTCGTGCTGCAACGCACCTGAATGCGGGTGCCTCGTGCTGCAACGCACCTGAATGCGGGTGCCTCGTGCTGCAACGCACCTGAATGCGGGTGCCTCGTGCTGCAACGCACCTGAATGCAGGTGCCTCGTGCTGCAACGCACCTGAATGCGGGTGCCTCGTGCTGCAACGCACCTGAATGCGGGTGCCTCGTGCTGCAACGCACCTGAATGCGGGTGCCTCGTGCTGCAATGCACCTGAATGCGGGTGGCGGCGAGGCGGCGGCGGGTGTTGACATAGGCGGTGCGGCAGAGGTGCATGCGCACAGCGGCCTGCACCACCAGGGCGGCGTGGCGCAGCTCGAGGAAGCGCAGGCGCTGCTGCCGCCCCCTCTCCGCCGCCTGGATGGTTGTCGCTGCCACGTCCATCCGCAACTGCTGGTACGCCGCGCGCGCACAGTGGCCTGGAGGGGGGTTGGAGATGGGAGAGAGAGGAAGTGGGGGACGAAACGGAGGGATGAGAACAGAAGGGAAGAGAAGGAGGGGGAGGAGGGGGAGGGAACAGAAGGCAGCTCCGCGAGAGGGCACAGCAGCCACATCACTCCGCAACAGTAGCCTGCGCGCATGCAGTAGCCTGGAGGGGCAGGGGGGTGGATGAAATTGAGAGAGTTGGGAAGTGGGGAGCGGAAGGTAACGAGTGTGAGTGAGGGATGGTAGGGTCGCACGGTGGGAGAGGAGCAGCTGGGGGCCCTTCGCCTCGCCAGTGGGTCTGGATGAGCATCTCACCTCGCCAGTGGGTCTGGATGAGCATCTCACCTCGCCAGTGGGTCTGGATGAGCATCTCACCTCGCCAGTGGGTCTGGATGAGCATCTCACCTCGCCAGTGGGTCTGGATGAGCATCTCACCTCGCCAGTGGGTCTGGATGAGCATCTCACCTCGACAGTGGGTCTGGATGAGCATCTCACCTCGCCAGTGGGTCTGGATGAGCATCTCACCTCGCCAGTGGGTCTGGATGAGCATCTCACCTCGCCAGTGGGTCTGGATGAGCATCTCACCTCGCCAGTGGGTCTGGATGAGCATCTCACCTCGCCAGTGGGTCTGGATGAGCATCTCACCTCGCCAGTGGGTCTGGATGAGCATCTCACCTCGCCAGTGGGTCTGGATGAGCATCTCACCTCGCCAGTGGGTCTGGATGAGCATCTCACCTCGCCAGTGGGTCTGGATGAGCATCTCACCTCGCCAGTGGGTCTGGATGAGCATCTCACCTCGCCAGTGGGTCTGGATGAGCATCTCACCTCGCCAGTGGGTCTGGATGAGCATCTCACCTCGCCAGTGGGTCTGGATGAGCATCTCACCTCGCCAGTGGGTCTGGATGAGCATCTCACCTCGCCAGTGGGTCTGGATGAGCATCTCACCTCGCCAGTGGGTCTGGATGAGCATCTCACCTCGCCAGTGGGTCTGGATGAGCATCTCACCTCGCCAGTGGGTCTGGATGAGCATCTCACCTCGCCAGTGGGTCTGGATGAGCATCTCACCTCGCCAGTGGGTCTGGATGAGCATCTCACCTCGCCAGTGGGTCTGGATGAGCATCTCACCTCGCCAGTGGGTCTGGATGAGCATCTCACCTCGCCAGTGGGTCTGGATGAGCATCTCACCTCGCCAGTGGGTCTGGATGAGCATCTCACCTCGCCAGTGGGTCTGGATGAGCATCTCTCCTCGCCAGTGGGTCTGGATGAGCATCTCACCTCGCCAGTGGGTCTGGATGAGCATCTCACCTCGCCAGTGGGTCTGGATGAGCATCTCACCTCGCCAGTGGGTCTGGATGAGCATCTCACCTCGCCAGTGGGTCTGGATGAGCATCTCACCTCGCCAGTGGGTCTGGATGAGCATCTCACCTCGCCAGTGGGTCTGGATGAGCATCTCACCTCGCCAGTGGGTCTGGATGAGCATCTCACCTCGCCAGTGGGTCTGGATGAGCATCTCACCTCGCCAGTGGGTCTGGATGAGCATCTCACCTCGCCAGTGGGTCTGGATGAGCATCTCACCTCGCCAGTGGGTCTGGATGAGCATCTCACCTCGCCAGTGGGTCTGGATGAGCATCTCACCTCGCCAGTGGGTCTGGATGAGCATCTCACCTCGCCAGTGGGTCTGGATGAGCATCTCACCTCGCCAGTGGGTCTGGATGAGCATCTCACCTCGCCAGTGGGTCTGGATGAGCATCTCACCTCGCCAGTGGGTCTGGATGAGCATCTCACCTCGCCAGTGGGTCTGGATGAGCATCTCACCTCGCCAGTGGGTCTGGATGAGCATCTCACCTCGCCAGTGGGTCTGGATGAGCATCTCACCTCGCCAGTGGGTCTGGATGAGCATCTCACCTCGCCAGTGGGTCTGGATGAGCATCTCACCTCGCCAGTGGGTCTGGATGAGCATCTCACCTCGCCAGTGGGTCTGGATGAGCATCTCACCTCGCCAGTGGGTCTGGATGAGCATCTCACCTCGCCAGTGGGTCTGGATGAGCATCTCACCTCGCCAGTGGGTCTGGATGAGCATCTCACCTCGCCAGTGGGTCTGGATGAGCATCTCACCTCGCCAGTGGGTCTGGATGAGCATCTCACCTCGCCAGTGGGTCTGGATGAGCATCTCACCTCGCCAGTGGGTCTGGATGAGCATCTCACCTCGCCAGTGGGTCTGGATGAGCATCTCACCTCGCCAGTGGGTCTGGATGAGCATCTCACCTCGCCAGTGGGTCTGGATGAGCATCTCACCTCGCCAGTGGGTCTGGATGAGCATCTCACCTCGCCAGTGGGTCTGGATGAGCATCTCACCTCGCCAGTGGGTCTGGATGAGCATCTCACCTCGCCAGTGGGTCTGGATGAGCATCTCACCTCGCCAGTGGGTCTGGATGAGCATCTCACCTCGCCAGTGGGTCTGGATGAGCATCTCACCTCGCCAGTGGGTCTGGATGAGCATCTCACCTCGCCAGTGGGTCTGGATGAGCATCTCACCTCGCCAGTGGGTCTGGATGAGCATCTCACCTCGCCAGTGGGTCTGGATGAGCATCTCACCTCGCCAGTGGGTCTGGATGAGCATCTCACCTCGCCAGTGGGTCTGGATGAGCATCTCACCTCGCCAGTGGGTCTGGATGAGCATCTCACCTCGCCAGTGGGTCTGGATGAGCATCTCACCTCGCCAGTGGGTCTGGATGAGCATCTCACCTCGCCAGTGGGTCTGGATGAGCATCTCACCTCGCCAGTGGGTCTGGATGAGCATCTCACCTCGCCAGTGGGTCTGGATGAGCATCTCACCTCGCCAGTGGGTCTGGATGAGCATCTCACCTCGCCAGTGGGTCTGGATGAGCATCTCACCTCGCCAGTGGGTCTGGATGAGCATCTCACCTCGCCAGTGGGTCTGGATGAGCATCTCACCTCGCCAGTGGGTCTGGATGAGCATCTCACCTCGCCAGTGGGTCTGGATGAGCATCTCACCTCGCCAGTGGGTCTGGATGAGCATCTCACCTCGCCAGTGGGTCTGGATGAGCATCTCACCTCGCCAGTGGGTCTGGATGAGCATCTCACCTCGCCAGTGGGTCTGGATGAGCATCTCACCTCGCCAGTGGGTCTGGATGAGCATCTCACCTCGCCAGTGGGTCTGGATGAGCATCTCACCTCGCCAGTGGGTCTGGATGAGCATCTCACCTCGCCAGTGGGTCTGGATGAGCATCTCACCTCGCCAGTGGGTCTGGATGAGCATCTCACCTCGCCAGTGGGTCTGGATGAGCATCTCACCTCGCCAGTGGGTCTGGATGAGCATCTCACCTCGCCAGTGGGTCTGGATGAGCATCTCACCTCGCCAGTGGGTCTGGATGAGCATCTCACCTCGCCAGTGGGTCTGGATGAGCATCTCACCTCGCCAGTGGGTCTGGATGAGCATCTCACCTCGCCAGTGGGTCTGGATGAGCATCTCACCTCGCCAGTGGGTCTGGATGAGCATCTCACCTCGCCAGTGGGTCTGGATGAGCATCTCACCTCGCCAGTGGGTCTGGATGAGCATCTCACCTCGCCAGTGGGTCTGGATGAGCATCTCACCTCGCCAGTGGGTCTGGATGAGCATCTCACCTCGCCAGTGGGTCTGGATGAGCATCTCACCTCGCCAGTGGGTCTGGATGAGCATCTCACCTCGCCAGTGGGTCTGGATGAGCATCTCACCTCGCCAGTGGGTCTGGATGAGCATCTCACCTCGCCAGTGGGTCTGGATGAGCATCTCACCTCGCCAGTGGGTCTGGATGAGCATCTCACCTCGCCAGTGGGTCTGGATGAGCATCTCACCTCGCCAGTGGGTCTGGATGAGCATCTCACCTCGCCAGTGGGTCTGGATGAGCATCTCACCTCGCCAGTGGGTCTGGATGAGCATCTCACCTCGCCAGTGGGTCTGGATGAGCATCTCACCTCGCCAGTGGGTCTGGATGAGCATCTCACCTCGCCAGTGGGTCTGGATGAGCATCTCACCTCGCCAGTGGGTCTGGATGAGCATCTCACCTCGCCAGTGGGTCTGGATGAGCATCTCACCTCGCCAGTGGGTCTGGATGAGCATCTCACCTCGCCAGTGGGTCTGGATGAGCATCTCACCTCGCCAGTGGGTCTGGATGAGCATCTCACCTCGCCAGTGGGTCTGGATGAGCATCTCACCTCGCCAGTGGGTCTGGATGAGCATCTCACCTCGCCAGTGGGTCTGGATGAGCATCTCACCTCGCCAGTGGGTCTGGATGAGCATCTCACCTCGCCAGTGGGTCTGGATGAGCATCTCACCTCGCCAGTGGGTCTGGATGAGCATCTCACCTCGCCAGTGGGTCTGGATGAGCATCTCACCTCGCCAGTGGGTCTGGATGAGCATCTCACCTCGCCAGTGGGTCTGGATGAGCATCTCACCTCGCCAGTGGGTCTGGATGAGCATCTCACCTCGCCAGTGGGTCTGGATGAGCATCTCACCTCGCCAGTGGGTCTGGATGAGCATCTCACCTCGCCAGTGGGTCTGGATGAGCATCTCACCTCGCCAGTGGGTCTGGATGAGCATCTCACCTCGCCAGTGGGTCTGGATGAGCATCTCACCTCGCCAGTGGGTCTGGATGAGCATCTCACCTCGCCAGTGGGTCTGGATGAGCATCTCACCTCGCCAGTGGGTCTGGATGAGCATCTCACCTCGCCAGTGGGTCTGGATGAGCATCTCACCTCGCCAGTGGGTCTGGATGAGCATCTCACCTCGCCAGTGGGTCTGGATGAGCATCTCACCTCGCCAGTGGGTCTGGATGAGCATCTCACCTCGCCAGTGGGTCTGGATGAGCATCTCACCTCGCCAGTGGGTCTGGATGAGCATCTCACCTCGCCAGTGGGTCTGGATGAGCATCTCACCTCGCCAGTGGGTCTGGATGAGCATCTCACCTCGCCAGTGGGTCTGGATGAGCATCTCACCTCGCCAGTGGGTCTGGATGAGCATCTCACCTCGCCAGTGGGTCTGGATGAGCATCTCACCTCGCCAGTGGGTCTGGATGAGCATCTCACCTCGCCAGTGGGTCTGGATGAGCATCTCACCTCGCCAGTGGGTCTGGATGAGCATCTCACCTCGCCAGTGGGTCTGGATGAGCATCTCACCTCGCCAGTGGGTCTGGATGAGCATCTCACCTCGCCAGTGGGTCTGGATGAGCATCTCACCTCGCCAGTGGGTCTGGATGAGCATCTCACCTCGCCAGTGGGTCTGGATGAGCATCTCACCTCGCCAGTGGGTCTGGATGAGCATCTCACCTCGCCAGTGGGTCTGGATGAGCATCTCACCTCGCCAGTGGGTCTGGATGAGCATCTCACCTCGCCAGTGGGTCTGGATGAGCATCTCACCTCGCCAGTGGGTCTGGATGAGCATCTCACCTCGCCAGTGGGTCTGGATGAGCATCTCACCTCGCCAGTGGGTCTGGATGAGCATCTCACCTCGCCAGTGGGTCTGGATGAGCATCTCACCTCGCCAGTGGGTCTGGATGAGCATCTCACCTCGCCAGTGGGTCTGGATGAGCATCTCACCTCGCCAGTGGGTCTGGATGAGCATCTCACCTCGCCAGTGGGTCTGGATGAGCATCTCACCTCGCCAGTGGGTCTGGATGAGCATCTCACCTCGCCAGTGGGTCTGGATGAGCATCTCACCTCGCCAGTGGGTCTGGATGAGCATCTCACCTCGCCAGTGGGTCTGGATGAGCATCTCACCTCGCCAGTGGGTCTGGATGAGCATCTCACCTCGCCAGTGGGTCTGGATGAGCATCTCACCTCGCCAGTGGGTCTGGATGAGCATCTCACCTCGCCAGTGGGTCTGGATGAGCATCTCACCTCGCCAGTGGGTCTGGATGAGCATCTCACCTCGCCAGTGGGTCTGGATGAGCATCTCACCTCGCCAGTGGGTCTGGATGAGCATCTCACCTCGCCAGTGGGTCTGGATGAGCATCTCACCTCGCCAGTGGGTCTGGATGAGCATCTCACCTCGCCAGTGGGTCTGGATGAGCATCTCACCTCGCCAGTGGGTCTGGATGAGCATCTCACCTCGCCAGTGGGTCTGGATGAGCATCTCACCTCGCCAGTGGGTCTGGATGAGCATCTCACCTCGCCAGTGGGTCTGGATGAGCATCTCACCTCGCCAGTGGGTCTGGATGAGCATCTCACCTCGCCAGTGGGTCTGGATGAGCATCTCACCTCGCCAGTGGGTCTGGATGAGCATCTCACCTCGCCAGTGGGTCTGGATGAGCATCTCACCTCGCCAGTGGGTCTGGATGAGCATCTCACCTCGCCAGTGGGTCTGGATGAGCATCTCACCTCGCCAGTGGGTCTGGATGAGCATCTCACCTCGCCAGTGGGTCTGGATGAGCATCTCACCTCGCCAGTGGGTCTGGATGAGCATCTCACCTCGCCAGTGGGTCTGGATGAGCATCTCACCTCGCCAGTGGGTCTGGATGAGCATCTCACCTCGCCAGTGGGTCTGGATGAGCATCTCACCTCGCCAGTGGGTCTGGATGAGCATCTCACCTCGCCAGTGGGTCTGGATGAGCATCTCACCTCGCCAGTGGGTCTGGATGAGCATCTCACCTCGCCAGTGGGTCTGGATGAGCATCTCACCTCGCCAGTGGGTCTGGATGAGCATCTCACCTCGCCAGTGGGTCTGGATGAGCATCTCACCTCGCCAGTGGGTCTGGATGAGCATCTCACCTCGCCAGTGGGTCTGGATGAGCATCTCACCTCGCCAGTGGGTCTGGATGAGCATCTCACCTCGCCAGTGGGTCTGGATGAGCATCTCACCTCGCCAGTGGGTCTGGATGAGCATCTCACCTCGCCAGTGGGTCTGGATGAGCATCTCACCTCGCCAGTGGGTCTGGATGAGCATCTCACCTCGCCAGTGGGTCTGGATGAGCATCTCACCTCGCCAGTGGGTCTGGATGAGCATCTCACCTCGCCAGTGGGTCTGGATGAGCATCTCACCTCGCCAGTGGGTCTGGATGAGCATCTCACCTCGCCAGTGGGTCTGGATGAGCATCTCACCTCGCCAGTGGGTCTGGATGAGCATCTCACCTCGCCAGTGGGTCTGGATGAGCATCTCACCTCGCCAGTGGGTCTGGATGAGCATCTCACCTCGCCAGTGGGTCTGGATGAGCATCTCACCTCGCCAGTGGGTCTGGATGAGCATCTCACCTCGCCAGTGGGTCTGGATGAGCATCTCACCTCGCCAGTGGGTCTGGATGAGCATCTCACCTCGCCAGTGGGTCTGGATGAGCATCTCACCTCGCCAGTGGGTCTGGATGAGCATCTCACCTCGCCAGTGGGTCTGGATGAGCATCTCACCTCGCCAGTGGGTCTGGATGAGCATCTCACCTCGCCAGTGGGTCTGGATGAGCATCTCACCTCGCCAGTGGGTCTGGATGAGCATCTCACCTCGCCAGTGGGTCTGGATGAGCATCTCACCTCGCCAGTGGGTCTGGATGAGCATCTCACCTCGCCAGTGGGTCTGGATGAGCATCTCACCTCGCCAGTGGGTCTGGATGAGCATCTCACCTCGCCAGTGGGTCTGGATGAGCATCTCACCTCGCCAGTGGGTCTGGATGAGCATCTCACCTCGCCAGTGGGTCTGGATGAGCATCTCACCTCGCCAGTGGGTCTGGATGAGCATCTCACCTCGCCAGTGGGTCTGGATGAGCATCTCACCTCGCCAGTGGGTCTGGATGAGCATCTCACCTCGCCAGTGGGTCTGGATGAGCATCTCACCTCGCCAGTGGGTCTGGATGAGCATCTCACCTCGCCAGTGGGTCTGGATGAGCATCTCACCTCGCCAGTGGGTCTGGATGAGCATCTCACCTCGCCAGTGGGTCTGGATGAGCATCTCACCTCGCCAGTGGGTCTGGATGAGCATCTCACCTCGCCAGTGGGTCTGGATGAGCATCTCACCTCGCCAGTGGGTCTGGATGAGCATCTCACCTCGCCAGTGGGTCTGGATGAGCATCTCACCTCGCCAGTGGGTCTGGATGAGCATCTCACCTCGCCAGTGGGTCTGGATGAGCATCTCACCTCGCCAGTGGGTCTGGATGAGCATCTCACCTCGCCAGTGGGTCTGGATGAGCATCTCACCTCGCCAGTGGGTCTGGATGAGCATCTCACCTCGCCAGTGGGTCTGGATGAGCATCTCACCTCGCCAGTGGGTCTGGATGAGCATCTCACCTCGCCAGTGGGTCTGGATGAGCATCTCACCTCGCCAGTGGGTCTGGATGAGCATCTCACCTCGCCAGTGGGTCTGGATGAGCATCTCACCTCGCCAGTGGGTCTGGATGAGCATCTCACCTCGCCAGTGGGTCTGGATGAGCATCTCACCTCGCCAGTGGGTCTGGATGAGCATCTCACCTCGCCAGTGGGTCTGGATGAGCATCTCACCTCGCCAGTGGGTCTGGATGAGCATCTCACCTCGCCAGTGGGTCTGGATGAGCATCTCACCTCGCCAGTGGGTCTGGATGAGCATCTCACCTCGCCAGTGGGTCTGGATGAGCATCTCACCTCGCCAGTGGGTCTGGATGAGCATCTCACCTCGCCAGTGGGTCTGGATGAGCATCTCACCTCGCCAGTGGGTCTGGATGAGCATCTCACCTCGCCAGTGGGTCTGGATGAGCATCTCACCTCGCCAGTGGGTCTGGATGAGCATCTCACCTCGCCAGTGGGTCTGGATGAGCATCTCACCTCGCCAGTGGGTCTGGATGAGCATCTCACCTCGCCAGTGGGTCTGGATGAGCATCTCACCTCGCCAGTGGGTCTGGATGAGCATCTCACCTCGCCAGTGGGTCTGGATGAGCATCTCACCTCGCCAGTGGGTCTGGATGAGCATCTCACCTCGCCAGTGGGTCTGGATGAGCATCTCACCTCGCCAGTGGGTCTGGATGAGCATCTCACCTCGCCAGTGGGTCTGGATGAGCAGGGCGGCGCGCCTGCGATGGCGATTGAAGAGGAAGTGCCGCGTGGCGCGCTGAATCTTCCTGGCAGCTTCGTTCATGGCGTCCAGGCGCATGCTCTGCAGCAGCGCCATCTGCCCCGCTCGCAGAAACACCTTGGTCAGCCCGATCTGCGCGCGTGCAGGAGGGGAGAGGTGGAGAGGGAAAGGCGTCAGGGGGAGGGGACGGAAAGGTGGTGGGGAAGGGTGGGTGAACAACCATATGCGCCATCTGCCCCAACCACAGGAACATCTTGGTCAGCCCGATCTGCGAGAGGGGCGTGAGGATGAGAATAGCCGGCGGAGACTTTTCAAGAGACTCAAAAAGCAACGCCGTCCGCCCCACCCGCAGGAACACCTTGGCCAGCTCGATCTGGCATGCATGCATGTACCGATGAAAGGGGTGGAGAGGGGGCGAGGAGAGCGGTGGGAGGGAGACAAGACTCGCACACAATTACAAAAACGTTCAACTTTGGAAAACGTTATATAGAGAAAAGAAAAAGGAGGGACCTGGAGGTTGGACCAAGGGAGACAATGTGTCTACAGAGACGAGACAAGGTCCTCAGGAGGAGCATGTGGTCAAAGGTGTGTGGAGCAGGGTGTGGCAATAGGGGGCGCTCTCTTGGGTGGATGGTAGTGAATCCGCCTTGTGACAACAGAACAGAGCCTCAAAGATGAGGGCACCTGAAGAATCACCTGGAGCTTAGTGTGATGTGAAGAGGCACCTGGTAGTTCTCGAGCTTGGCGTGTTTGAGCAGCGCCTCCACGTACTCCACGTCTGACATGCTGTGAAGGGGGAGGAGACGGGGGAGAGGAGGGGGGTGGTGGGGTTGGGGGGGGGGGGGGAGTCCACTTTGAGTCCACTGCCAGCCACGTTTGCTTGAACAGCGCCTCCACGTTCTCCACGTCTGACATCCTGGGGGGAGGGGAGAGAGGAGAGGTGGGGGGGAGAGGGGGGGGAGGAGAGAGGGAGGGCGGTGGGTGAGAGAGGAGTTGGGAGAGGTGAAGAGGCACGTGCGTGTATTGGAGCAGCGCGTCCATGTACTCCACGTCCCACATGCTGCGAGGGGGGAGAGGGGAAAGGGGAGACGGGAGAGGGGGGAAGGTGGGTGTGCTTTTGGGTGGACTCAAACGCTACCTGTGTTGGAGCAGCGCCTCCCCGCACTCCATGTCCGACACGCTGCAGAGAGGGGAGAAGAAGGGGGGAGGGGAAGGGTGGCCGTGGAGAGGCTTTGGGGTCGACTCAAACGCCAGGCACCTATGCTTGAGCATTGCCCCCCCCACATAGTCCTCATCTGACATGCTGCGGAGAGTGCGTGGGGGGATGGTTGCTGGTTTGGCTGGACCGACATTATTGGAGAGGAGAAGAGTGGAGAGGTGACCAGTGGAGGGGAGTGGCGAAAAGAGGAGGGAAGTGGACAGGAGAAGAGAGGAGGGGAGGGGAGAGGAGTGCAGTGGAGTGGAGAAGAGAGGAGAGACGAGGAGAGGAGAATTGAGACACAAAGAGGGGGACGAAGAGGGCAGGGACAACTCGAAGAGAGGAGGGACAACTCGAAGTGTGCAGATATTTGAGGAGGAAGGGGAGCGGAGAGTCCCCTTATGGCGAGCTCTCAGTGATGGCGAGCTCTCAGTGGAGCTGAGGTGCTCCTGTGGCGCGCTGAGAGGAGACCCGAAATGAAATCACGTGAGACGCATCACACTGACGAGGTTCATTTCAGAATAATATTTTTGACAAGAGGAGAGAGGAGTGGAGTGGAGAGGGGGAGGGAGGGGAGAGGAGAGGAAAGGAGAGAAAAAGAGGAGAATCTTAGGAGGGGACAGGAGAGGAGACGGGAGCACTCACTCCTGCTCGAGCAGCGAGGGCAGCAGCAGAGCGAAGCGGTCAACGAAGTCCTCAAAGGTGCGGCGTGTGGGGTAGCCCGCGGAGCACATGCGGATGGCCTCCAGCACTCCCTGCGCCAGGGAGGAGCAAGCAAGGGCACACAAGGCGACAGGAAGACAGGGAGCTGGTCATGGCGCGCTCAGTTCAGTTCAGTTCACAGTGAGCAGGGGTGCTACTACGTCCTAGCCGGCCACTGGAGACCTGGGCCACGACAAACTAAGCCTGCACCCCAACTCACCCCCGACCGCAGCTGGTCCGTGACCATGGCGCGCTCAAACATGCCCGGCCGGCTCTTGGCGTTCGGCTTGATGCACCGGATGTAGTGCGGTTCAGTGCGGTTGAGTGTCTCCATGAGTTGCGCCAGTTGTTGCTGGTGACGCAGGGGTGGGGTGACGGCAAAGGCAGGGGGCCGAGAACGAGGGACGGAGGAGAGAAAATGGGTGGTGGAAGGAGAAAATGCACTGCGAGACTGAGCAAAACATGCATTGAAAGGGAAGTAAAAAAGCTTGCAATGCCAGCGGCTTATGTCAGCTCCCAACCAGTGCTGCCCGAGCCACCCAGGGCGCTTGGAGGTATGTGAGTCCCAACCCCCCAGCTTGGAGGCATGTGAGTCCCAACCCCCCAGCTTGGAGGCATGTGAGTCCCGACCCCCCAGCTTGGAGGCATGTGAGTCCCGACCCCCCAGCTTGGAGGCATGTGAGTCCCGACCCCCCAGCTTGGAGGCATGTGAGTCCCGACCCCCCAGCTTGGAGGCATGTGAGTCCCGACCCCCCAGCTTGGAGGCATGTGAGTCCCGACCCCCCAGCTTGGAGGCATGTGAGTCCCGACCCCCCAGCTTGGAGGCATGTGAGTCCCGACCCCCCAGCTTGGAGGCATGTGAGTCCCGACCCCCCAGCTTGGAGGCATGTGAGTCCCGACCCCCCAGCTTGGAGGCATGTGAGTCCCGACCCCCCAGCTTGGAGGCATGTGAGTCCCGACCCCCCAGCTTGGAGGCATGTGAGTCCCGACCCCCCAGCTTGGAGGCATGTGAGTCCCGACCCCCCAGCTTGGAGGCATGTGAGTCCCGACCCCCCAGCTTGGAGGCATGTGAGTCCCGACCCCCCAGCTTGGAGGCATGTGAGCCCCGACCCCCCAGCTTGGAGGCATGTGAGTCCGGACCCCCCAGCTTGGAGGCATGTGAGTCCCGACCCCCCAGCTTGGAGGCATGTGAGTCCCGACCCCCCAGCTTGGAGGCATGTGAGTCCCGACCCCCCAGCTTGGAGGCATGTGAGTCCCGACCCCCCAGCTTGGAGGCATGTGAGTCCCGACCCCCCAGCTTGGAGGCATGTGAGTCCCGACCCCCCAGCTTGGAGGCATGTGAGTCCCGACCCCCCAGCTTGGAGGCATGTGAGTCCCGACCCCCCAGCTTGGAGGCATGTGAGTCCCGACCCCCCAGCTTGGAGGCATGTGAGTCCCGACCCCCCAGCTTGGAGGCATGTGAGTCCCGACCCCCCAGCTTGGAGGCATGTGAGTCCCGACCCCCCAGCTTGGAGGCATGTGAGTCCCGACCCCCCAGCTTGGAGGCATGTGAGTCCCGACCCCCCAGCTTGGAGGCATGTGAGTCCCGACCCCCCAGCTTGGAGGCATGTGAGTCCCGACCCCCCAGCTTGGAGGCACACAGGTGTGTGTGGGGTTGGATGGCGAGTGGGATGGTTGAGTGGGTGGATGGCTGGCTGGTGCTCACCTTGAAGGAGCTGGTGGGGTGGATGGCTGGCTGGTGCTCACCTTGAAGGAGCTGGTGGGGTGGATGGCTGGCTGGTGCTCACCTTGAAGGAGCGAGCCAGCGACGCGAACTTGCTCGTGGCCTTGCCCGCCTTGTCGTCGGGCGGAGCGGGCGGGAAGAGCGCAGCCACAAAGGGGTCGGTGGACTTCTGCAGCAGCACCTCGTGCTCTGATACCACTGCGTCCATGTTCTTGCTTATGAACTCCGCTGTGCTGTACTTCACCTGGTGTGCTCCAAGGGGGGGAGGGAAAGGAAAGGGAAGTTGCAAGTTGAGCAACAGGGGGGATGAGCTGTGCTTGACTTCATCTGGTGCGTTCTAGTGCCAGAGCGCCGCTTGCATTTGAAAACTCTTCTGAGCCACTCACCAGTCATCTTGAGTTTAGGGTTATCTCTTGAGTTGATGCAAGGGTTATCTCGTGAGTTGAGTTCACCATAGTAAGCCAGGCAGCACAGAGCCCTGACTAATCTGCCTGGCATGGTGCTGAAGAGTGCAAGAGGCATAGCCCTTGGACTTGGAAAACTGATAGGGGGTGGCACGCTTCTCAACACAGAGCCCCGCCCGGGCCACCACTCTCACCTCACCTCACCTGCTCCGCGTGGAGCTCGAGAGTGAAGTCAATGACAGGGACCTTGGACTTGGAGAAGACTACTAAGTTAGATTGAACATCCTAGAAAGCAACCCAGCACAGTGCCCCACCCACCTGCCCGGCGTAGTGCTCCATGGTGAAGTCAGTGACGGAGCCCTTGGGCTTGGAGAAGGACTTTGAGATGACTGCATAGCCGTACACAACACAGAGCCCCACCTGCGCGGCGTAGTGCTGGAGGGTGAAGTCAATAACAGAGCCATTGGAGTTGGACAAGTCGGCCATGTGCACGCCTCACACACAGTCCTTTCATTCCACCCCACCCCACCCCACCTACCCAACACAGCACACAGCCCCACCCCACCTACCCAACACAGCACACAGCCCCACCCCACCCACCTGCCCGGCGTAGTGCTCCATGGTGAAGTCGGTGACGGAGCCCTTGGACTTGGAGAAGCGGTCGTGGCGCAGGAAGGCGTCGTACAGCGACAGCGTGAAGCCCTCCGCCGTTGACTGCGCCAGGCGGCTGGACGGTGGAGAAGAGAGGAGGGGGGGGGAGGGGAGAGGGCGTAATGGGGAAGGAAAAGGATCGGGAAGCACGTGGGAAGGCGTCGTACAGCGACAGCGTGAAGCCCTCCGCCGTTGACTGCGCCAGGCGGCTGGACGGTGGAGAAGAGAGGAGGAGGGGGGAGGGGAGAGGGCGTAATGGGGAAGGAAGAGGGAGGGGAAGCACGTGGGAAGGCGTCGTACGTTGACACCGTGAAGCCCTCCGCTGTGGCCTGAGCCACAAGGCTGGTGCAGGGGGTGAGGGGAGGGGGGCGTGGGGAGGGGATGGAGGTGGGGAGGGGGAGAGGGAGAGGGGGGGGGGAAGAGGGGGGGGAAGGGAAGCATGGAAGAGAGGTGGTGGTGGCGGAGGAAGGCGTCGTACAGCGACAGGGTGAAGCCCTCCGCCCTGGGCTGCGATGGTGGGGCGAAGAGAGCGCGAGGTGTGAGGGGGAGATGAGATGAGGGGGTTCAGAATCCAGATGCATGGGGAGGAGAGGGGGACGTAGGTGTGGGTCTAAGTTGCGGAAGACGCTAGACGCAAGACTTAGACGCAAGGCGCTTTGGTAAAAAACTTTCGGGCAGCCCGGAAAGAAAAAATCCGCGCGCAAAATTGAATTTCGCCATTTCGACGCGAAATTCAATTTCGCGCTATTCAAACCCCTTCCCACCCATTTCGACCACATAAACCAGCCCCCCAAGCAAATTTGAAGCCTCCCCCACGACAATTGAACACAAACCACTCTTCACCTCTCATTATCTACAGAACCCAACCTCTATGGTTAACCACCAAGAGGTTGGGGAGCACAAATCCCTCATTTGTGCTCCCCAACCTTCAATTCTTTCAAATCTCTTTCGAAAACCCTTAGGGTTTAGCTCATTCCACCGCGCAACCATGTCTTCTAGTAGTAGCCCTTCGTCTAGTAGTTCCTCCTCCGCGAGCGAGAATGCCGTCGGCGAGGGTCTTTCCACTCGTGTTTCCCAGGAAATGGAGGGGGTTGATAAGAAGTCTAAGTTTCCCGAGCACCCGATCTACAAGCACTACTATTTTTTTACGGATCCGAAGAAGAAGGGCGAGCAAGTCGAGTGTCTTTCTTGCCACAAGAAGTTTCGTTTAGTAGTAGCCGCACTCCCGAGCATCTCGCCGAGTGGTACGACCCGCACCGGCGCCGCGAGGCGGGAGTCGTTTGCAAGGATGTGCCGAAGGAGATTTCCTCGGAGATTCGCGAGATGTTAGAAGCGAAGATTCGGGCGCGCAACCAAAAGGCGCGGGCGACGAGCGCGGCAGTCGCGGCGGTGAGCGGCAAGAGCGAGGCGCAAGGGAAGGCGAAGCGCGAGCGCATGGATGACTTTTACGGCGAGGGTGGACTCGTAGCAGGGCGGGCGGCCGACGAGGCGATTGTCCTCTACCTCGCGGGGACGCGCACGCCGGAGTCTCAGTGCGAGCACCCGCTCTTCGTCAACATGCTACGAGCCGTCACCGCTGCCGGCCCAAACTACGTCCCCCCCAAGCGGCACTACGTCAGAGGCGCCGGCCTGTTTGAGTGCAAGCAGCGGATTGAGAAGTCGTTGTCGCCGGTTACGAAGTCGTGGACGGAGACGGGCGTGACGATCGCCAGCGACATGATGACAAGAGCGGCCGCGCGCTGATGAACATCATCTGCATCAACGACACTGGAGCGGTCTTCTTTGAGGCGGTCGATTGCAAGGCGGTGACGAAGAGTGGCAAGTTCATCGCCAGCGTCCTGCGGCCGATCATCGAGCGCATCGGGGCGGAGCATGTCGTGGCGCTGTGCACGGACGGCGGCAGCAACTACAAAGCTGCTGGCAAGCTGCTGCGGAAGGAGTGGCCGCATCTCGACCTCGTTCCCTGCGCGACGCACGTGCTGGACCTGCTGATGGAGGACGTCGGCAAGATGGACTTGGCGCAGGTGGTCGTGACCCAGGCTGACAACATCATCTCCTTCGTGCGCGGGCACCAGTGGACGCGCGCCTTCATGCGCGACCCGGAGCTGCACGGCGAGAAGAAATCGCTGCAGGTGTTGCGCCCGACAGGCACGCGCTTTGGAACGCAGTTCATCGCAGTGTCTCGTCTGCGCGACGTTCGCCAGCAGCTCACGGCGATGGTGTCGCACAAGGATTGGCCGGAAAAGGGGGGGAGCACGCTTACGGGAGCGGATTTTGAGGGGTGGGTGATGGACCAGGCGTGGTGGAAGAAGGTGGACGTCTTTCTGCAGATGATAGAGTTGTTCTACAACGTGATGCGGAGGACGGATTCAGCGGCGAAGGGGATGATGGGCCAGCTGTACGACATCATGCTGCAGCTGACGGAGGAGTTGGATAAGCTGCTGAATGGGAAGGAGTGCAAGCTGAGCAGGGCGGATAAGGAGAAGGTGCGGGAGCATTTGAGGAGGCCTTGGGACGAGAGCCTGGCTTGCCCCCTCCACGCGGCAGGCCGGATCTTGTACCCGGCAAACCAGGACGAGGGGATCTTTCTGCAGGATGCGGAGTGCACCAAGGTCATGCAGGAGTGGCTGGAGCGACAGAAGGCGTTCGTCGACAGGTACTGGAAGAAGAGCCGCGGCAAGAAGGGACCGGTGAGGCCGCTGCATGAGGGGGTGACGGCCTACATCAACGGCGAAGGAGGATTCGGCACGCAGACCGCGATCGATGGGCGTGGGGATATTCAGCTGGGGAAGGGGAACGTGATATTGTGGTGGCAGTACAATGGATGGGAGTACGCCGACCTGGCGCGCATTGCGTGGCGCACGCTGTCCCAGCCCGTTTTCGCTTCCCCGTGCGAGCGGGGCTGGTCTACATGGGATGGCGTGCACACGGCGCGCAGGAACCGGCTCGGGTCGGCGAAAGTGCGCGACCTTGTGTACGTTGCGCACAACTAGAATGTTGTGCACAACTTCCACAAGGATGCGGAAGCGGGGCCTAGTGTGGTGGGGAGGAAGGGTGCAGTGGTGGAGGGGAACATTCCCCCCCCCTCCCCTCCCCGAGGGGTACAAGTTGGAGGATGGGGAGGTGGAGGCGGACGAGGACGACGTGTGCCTCGATGAGTGGGAGGAGCAGGAGGAGCTGGAGAAGGAAGGGGAGGAGGAGGAGGAGGATGAGGAGGAGGAGAGCTAGGAGGCGTAGTGATCCGCTGAGATATGTAGTAGTAGTAATGTATTTCGAGTTTGCTACTACTAGAGAGACATGGAGGGTTAACTATATATGATGATATGTGATAATTTTTGTGAAGTCTAAGAATGGGGGAAAAATTATGCTACGGGGAAAAATTCACCCCATTGTGGCATGTTCCCCACCCTCCCCATGCCCCTCAGAACTTTTTTTGGTCTGCCCGAACTTTTTTTTAGGCCTGCCCGGGTTTTCGTCTAGTACTGCGTCTAATCCAGCCTCACTATCATCTAGCGTCTTAGACGCTGCGTCTAGACGGACGCGTCTAAGACGCTAGACGCGTCTTCCGCAACTTAGGTGTGGGTTGACAGAAGCGCAGGTGGAGAGGGAGGGCAGAAGGAAGGAGAGGGAGGGTGATGCCCTTCAATGTGGTCTCAGAAGAAGAAGGGAGTATGCGTAGGGGGGTTAGGGTGGGGGTTAGTGGGTGGTGGGGGGCTAGTGGGGAGTACGTGAAGAGGCAGATAGGGGAGGGAGGTGAATCCCAGGAGTGAGTTGAGGCCATGTGCTGCTGACGAGTGCAGAGGATGGAACCGACGAGAAGAGCGAATGGGGAGCAGGGATTATTGAATTAAGATGCATCTGGGGGAATGCATGTGGGGGAATGCAGGTGGGGGAATGCAGGTGGGGGAATGCAGGTGGGGGAATGCAGGTGGGGGGAGGCGAATGAAGGTGCGGGGCGAGTGGGAGGAAGCTGAGGGAGCGAGTGGAGGTGTGATGCACGCACCAGGCTGAGTCAAGGATGCTGAGAATGCCTTTGTCCTGCCGCATGGGACACGGGGGGAACCACGGCAAAGGGGGCGGAAGGGGGAGGTGGGGGGAGAGGGGAGGGGGGAGGGAGGAAGAGGGGGAAGGGGGAGGGATGGGTGGGTGGGTGGGTTTGAAATGAGAGAGGAACACAAGGACAATCGCATGCATTATGTCGATATGATCTGATCTGATCGTCTACAGCTCCATGTGGCTCTCTCGAAAAGTGCCAAATTCCAACTCCACTCCCTTCCCCCATACAGCGCCTCTATTCTTTCTTCCTCACAGTGCATCCCCCACAGCGCTCACCCCCTCAATGAGGTCCAGCACAGCTCACCCCCTCAATGAGGTCCAGCACGTCCTGGTTGTCACGGAAGTTGATGTAGCTCCAGTTGATCTGCTCCTTCTCGTACTCCTCCTGCTCCAGCTTCAACACGTGCTGGACGTGGTGTTGGGGGGGGGAGAGGGGGATACGCAAGCATGGGAGAGGAGAGGAGGCTAGCCCTGCAGTGGCCCTCCTGCTTTGGCTGAGTTGACAGCACAGCATTGGTGGCTGACTGCATTCATGCGCCTGCCACCTAACTGAGGCTTAGCTCCACTCCACCTAACACTGGAATCACTCTAATAAGCCAGCACACGTTGACACGCCTCACCTGGTTGACACGCCCCACCTGGTTGACACGCCCCACCTGGTTGACACGCGCCCCACCTGGTTGACACGCCCCACCTGGTTGACACGCCCCACCTGGTTGACACGCCCCACCTGGTTGACACGCCTCACCTGGTTAAAATGCTGCTGCAGTTTCTCGTTGGCAAGATTGATGCAGAACTGCTCAAAGCTGTTGGGGGGACATGGAGGAGGAGGAGAGAGGAGGCAGGGGGAGGAGAGGGATTGCGTAAGCGAGGAAGGGGGTTTGAAGAGGGATAAATGGGGGAGGGGTTCCGTGAGAGATTGTGAATGCACAAGTGCTCCAGGTGGTGCACACATGGAGGATGGCGCAGAGAAGCACGGGGGCGAAGCGGAAGGGTGTAGGGGACGGATGGGGGGAGGTGTGGGGGGCGTCTGGGCAGGGATGGTGGGGTTTATGGAACTGTGAAGACGAATACTGAATGGACTGGTTACGGATACAAGATAAGGGCTGGAAGGGGATTGATGCTCAAAGCTGTTCTCTTGAGCTTCAAGTACGGCACCACATCACATCTGCCCTGCAAGTAGGGATGAGCACCGGACGAACATCGAACATGTTCGTCCGAACTGTGGCGAACACACTCAGTGGGCGAACCGAACATATTCGGTTCGCCCGAACACTTTTTACTGAAATCTTATGTTCGAGGTTCGCCCACTGTGGGCGAACCTACTAAATGGGGCCGAACATCAGAGATGTTCGGGCGAACCCGAACGGGGGGAACCTGCTTCTGTTTTAGGGGTTATGAGCTCCCAGTGGGAAATTGGATGCTCATTACTTTACCGTTCCCACCCCTTGTACCCACCCTTAAACCATGGAACGGGTGTTTCAGAGCCATGAAGAGGAGCACTGACAACAAGGCATAGCATAATTTAAACCGAAACCTGCTGGTACAACCCTAAAAAACGGCCTTAACACCCCATTGGTGCCTAACTAACAGTTGATGTGGGCGATTTAGTATAGGAAGGTACGTTGGGTGGCGCTTAGGCTAGATCAACCCTAGGAAAAGTGGATCGAGCTGAGAAACAGCTCGATCTGCTCTTCCCGTCCTTTTCTTACCCAACCAGCGCGACCTTGTCGAGCTGGAATTATCCCGAACATCAAAATGTTCGGGAGAACAGGTTTGATGCCCGAACATGTTCGATGTTCGGGCACTAGACATGCGCGCGCCACGAACGCGCGAACATGTTCGGGCCGAACCCGAACATGTTCCGGCGAACATTTAAACAAAAAAATGGAGGAAAGTTCGGTCCGCCCCCAAACATGTTCGGGCGAACCGAACGCACGTTCGCCATTTTGCTCATTCCTGCCTGCAAGTGCTGATCAGTTAACCTTCAGATTTCAAGTACTGATTATTCAACCTTTAGATTTGAAGTGCTCACATCCCAGAATTGGAGCATGCCCCTTCAGATGTGCACCACTTTACCTTCCCGGCACTCATCTCGCGTTCCACGTTGACATGACTTGCGCGCACCTGTTGATCTTGAAGTGCTCGAAGCCGTAGATGTCCAGCACGCCAATGATGGCCATGGCCCTGGCGTCCTGCCCGATGGACCGATTCACCTTCTGCACAATCCTGGGGGGGGGGAAGGGGGAAAGAAAAAGGGAGGAAGGGGGACGAGGGGAGTGTGGGGTGGGTGGTGGGGGTGGGTGAGTGAGGTGTGGTTGAGGGCGAGGCGGGGTGGCTGGCGGTGTGAGCTGGTCACGCTTTTCTTTCCTGTGTTCTGAGGACATGCACGGAAGTCAGCTTCACTTGGTAAATGGAGGTTTACATAGAAACATGGATGATGGTTTGGGTTGGGTTGTGGCCATGTCTGATTTATTGACTTCCCTTCCCTCCAATAAGGCGGAGTGGAGCTAGATAAATAATCAGGGTTGAATGGTGGCCATGATGTTGAAACCCCAATCATCGTGGACCAGTCATTGAGGTTCACTTCACTTGACAGGGGTTAAAGCTGGAGCCCAACCCCTCAATTAGGGCCAATCCTGGTTTTGCACCCAGCAGTCTCACTCACTCACCCGTCAAAGAGCTTGGAGTAGAGGGTCTCACCAGTCAAAGAGCTTGGAGTAGAGGGTCTCACCAGTCAAAGAGCTTGGAGTAGAGGGTCTCACCAGTCAAAGAGCTTGGAGTAGAGGGTCTCACCAGTCAAAGAGCTTGGAGTAGAGGGTCTCACCAGTCAAAGAGCTTGGAGTAGAGGGTCTCACCAGTCAAAGAGCTTGGAGTAGAGGGTCTCACCAGTCAAAGAGCTTGGAGTAGAGGGTCTCACCAGTCAAAGGGCTTGGAGTAGAGGGTCTCACCAGTCAAAGAGCTTGGAGTAGAGGGTCTCACCAGTCAAAGAGCTTGGAGTAGAGGGTCTCACCAGTCAAAGAGCTTGGAGTAGAGGGTCTCACCAGTCAAAGAGCTTGGAGTAGAGGGTCTCACCAGTCAAAGAGCTTGGAGTAGAGGGTCTCACCAGTCAAAGAGCTTGGAGTAGAGGGTCTCACCAGTCAAAGAGCTTGGAGTAGAGGGTCTCACCAGTCAAAGAGCTTGGAGTAGAGGGTCTCACCAGTCAAAGAGCTTGGAGTAGAGGGTCTCACCAGTCAAAGAGCTTGGAGTAGAGGGTCTCACCAGTCAAAGAGCTTGGAGTAGAGGGTCTCACCAGTCAAAGAGCTTGGAGTAGAGGGTCTCACCAGTCAAAGAGCTTGGAGTAGAGGGTCTCACCAGTCAAAGAGCTTGGAGTAGAGGGTCTCACCAGTCAAAGAGCTTGGAGTAGAGGGTCTTGGCGAGCGTGTCACGGCGGACAGTGGCGGCCTTGACGTCGAGAGCACTCTTGATGGTCTCCCCCCCCACCTTGCGCTTCACCGTGCATAGCGAGTCCTGCAGCTTCTTGCGGTCGCACCTGCAGAGCACATGACACGACGGGGTCAGGATAGTGAGAGTGAGGGGAGGTTGAGGGGGCCCGGAGGGGAGCGGAGTAAGGAGATATGGGAGCCACCTTGCGGGCACCGTGCATAGCGAGTCCTGCAGCAACTTGAAGGTGAGAAGGCGGAGAGGCGGCGAGTGAAGATAGGGCTCGAGAGAGAGCGGTGGTGCATTCGAGAAAAATGGAGGTGCGGGTGAGAGGCGTACGAGAGGAGGGAGGCGACGGTGTCGAGGGTGGCGTCGGCGTGCTTTGCGATGCGCAGCTTGTCGCCCTTCTCCCTGAACTCCACGTTGCCCAGATGCAGCACCGCTGCTAGCAGGCGCAGGATGGATAGCTGGTGGACGAACAGGGGGGAGATAAAGGGAAGAGACAGGAAGGGAGGGAAATTGCCGCCTTTCTCCCTGAAGATGCAGCACTGCAGCTAGCAGGCGCGGGATGGACCGCTGCAGGGCGGGTGGAGTGGGTGGCCGGGAGGGGGGGGGGGGGGGGGGAGAGAGAGGTGTGAGCAGGGACCGGGGGTTGAGGGGAGGGAGCGAGGACAAGGTAAAGAGATAGGAAAACGACAGGAAGGGAAGGAGCTCGTCACCCTTCTCCCTGCACCCCATCCATGTTGCCCAGATGCACTCCATCCATGTTGCCCAGATGCACTCCATCCATGTTGCCCAGATGCACTCCATCCTAGTGCTTGGGCCTTAGAGTCGGGGTTCAGGGTTCAGGGTTCCGGGTGTACGTAGGGTTTAGCAGCTGAGGAAGTTGCAGATAAAAAAATGCCAGAATGGGAGCAGATTCTCGCCCGGCTTCGTGCAGGCAATGTTAGCTCGGGGGCAGAAAGTCTGGGAGCAAGTAAGGTAAGGCGGAGGGGAGAGCGGATGCTTGGCATGGCAGGATGCGGGCATGGACAGGTGGTGGGGAGGCATGTGTGCGAGGCGACGTGTGGAGCAGGCAGGGACGAACAAGGGGGTGGAGGCGAGCAGAGAGAGCGGTGGAAGGCACGTGGTGAAGAGAGGACTGCAGCGGAGCCATGCCGTGTGGCACACTGGGGGCTGTGAGGTGCAGCTTTGGCACAATAGCTCATGATGAAACAACACACCAACACGTGCGCGCACCTGCTCCTCCTCCGAGATGCCAATGACGCGCATGGCGCTGCGGGTCTTGCCGTACTCCTCGGCGTTGCTGGACTTGCCCTGCAGCTCGAAGCATCGGCTCTGGTTGAGGTAGTGGAAGTGCTGCGCCCTGTTGGGGCCGGGCGGCAGCTTCAGCAGCTCCGCCTCCTGCCAGTGCCAGCGCAGTGCACATAATGGAGGGATAGGGCAGAGAGAGACATGAGAGATATGGCATGTAGGGAAGGTTAGAGAGTCAGGGACAGCAGGGCTCGAGGCAGCGGCTCCGGTTGAGGTGGTGGAAGTGCTGCGCCCTGTTGGGGCCTGCTTCAGCAGCTCTGCTTCCTGCCAACACATCCCATAGAGAGAAACGATATGGCAAGTTGGGAGGGTGAGGGAGCGAGGGACAGCAGTCCTGGAAGCGGCGGCTGCGGTAGCGTGAAGTGGTGCATGCGGTTGGGGCCGGGGGACAGCGAGGAGGATGACAGGGAGGGGCGCGGCAGGGAGGGGTGGGTTGGAGGTTGGAAGCTACACCAGAGGTGGCTGCAGCGAGGAGAGGCAGTGACCTAAGCAGCAGAGGCAGCGTGCGACTGACCTCGGGGGAGGCCCCGTCGCAGAGCTGGTAGAAGCAGTGGTAGTTCCTCTCGGGGTCCGCTATCTGCACCACCCGTGATCGCTCCAGCAGGTACGACCGGATGGCCGCTCCTGACACACGCCCGCGCTCGTCAAACTGGATCTCGATGAACTTGCCAAAGCGACTGGCGCCACGGGTGAGGGGCAGAGGACGGTGGGTAAAGGAAGGAATGGAAGGGAAAATGAGGGTGCCGTGAATGCTCGATGACACGCGGCCTCGCTCGTCAAAGTGGATCTGTATGACCTTGCCAAAGTTAGTGGCGCCCGGCCAGCACACAGGGTGGTCTGAGGGGGAGAGTGGAAGACACAAGCAGGGCGACGGGGACAGGGAAGGCAGGGGCAACGAATGGAAGGAAGGAGAAGGACGACGTGCATCTACTTGTGCTCAGGGCTCAACATACGGAGAAACCTCGACTGCCTGGATAGATCGCCACACACCTGCTACCTCGCACTCTTCCCCAGTATTAATTCCCCTTGGCACTTATCCCCCTTTACTCGTCCCCCTGCACTCATCGTGCCTCTGTACATCTCCCTGCACCGCATCCCACCTGGAGTTGTCATTGCGCACTGTCTTGGCATTCCCAAACGCTTCCAGCAGTGGATTGGACTGTTGCGGGGCAATTGCAGGACGATCAGAAGAGCAAGAGAGGGAGGGGAAGGGGGAAGGGAGCGGAAGAATAAAAGACAAGTGTTCCAATGTTCCAATGTTGGAAAGGGGTGGAACATTGGAGGAGGGAGTGGGAGAGGTTTCAAATTCTGAATCAAGAGGCAGAGGAAGAGAAGGGCAGGCGAGGAGGGGGGTGGCATCGTGGTGAAACAAGAGAAACTGTTGCAAGACTCCACATTTGCCTCACACAACGTCGCCCCTCTTTCCCCTCTGCCCTCGCTTGCCTTGCCTCTCTTGCCCCTCGTGGCTTCACCTTCATGGTTCCAGCCAGCCACACTCGCTTGCTCGTGATTCACCATCTTCGTTGCCACGCATCTACTCTGCCTCCCTCCCGCCCTTGCCTACTGTCACGTCACTCACTTTCCTCCTCCCGTCTGTCCCTGCCTCGCTCTCTGCGTGCCTCTGATTGCTGCGCTGATGGCCTCACCCTCGCGCACCTCCACCATTTGCTTCATTGCTTCTCACTGCCCCTCTCACCTCATGTCAGCTGCGTCGCACTCCCTCCCCCATCGCACCTGCAGCACTTGGTTATCAGTGCTGCGCTTTCCCTCAGAGTCCGCATGGCCCCCCACAACCTCCATCACCGCCTCCATCTTGCCCGCTGCTCTGCATGCCAGCCCGTCCTCACCCCTTTCTCCCCCTTTACTCCCACTCCCCCCACCCACCCTCCCCCTCCCGTTTCCACAGCCCTACCCCTCCGTTTCCCTTCAAGTCTCGCCCCAAGTTTCTTGTAAGCCCTCCCCCCCCCCCCCTCACCTCCAGCACTTGGTTCTCGATGCTCCTCTCGCCGTCGCTGTCAGCGCGCCCCCCCACAGACGCCAGGTATTCCATCACCAGCTTCGTCGTCTCCGTCTTGCCCGCCCCGCTCTCCCCGCTGATCAGAATCGACTGGCTTCGCCGCTCCTCCCGCATCGCTCTGCACTCCTCCGAGGGAATGCATGTGGGGCGGGCATGGGGGGAGGGGCGGAGTTGGGGGGACAGGCATGAGGGGGCGGGCATGAGGGGAGGGGGCACGAGGGGGCGGGATGAGCTTGCCCATGTGCTCAGCACCCTGGGAGGCTTCACACATCGCTCTCATCTCACACTTCCCTTCAACTCAACTCTCCCACGTACATGCCTGGCACCTGAGAATCCGCCTGAGACCTCACATGTAGGCATCATGAGCACCCCCCTCACCTATACGCGTTACCAGGTTGCCAGCACTACCCTCTCATCCCCACCTGTACGCATTGTGGGCGATGGCACAGAGGTGGGGGTGATGTCGCCCAGTAACGGGCCTCGGTAGGCATCATCACGCATGTCACTCTTCAATTGACGTAACACTTTGCACCGCACCCCCACCCCCACCCCCACCCCCACCTGTAAGCATTGTCAGCGATGGCAAACACATGGGGGCTGAGCTCGCCTAGTGGCTGCCCCCGGTAGGCGTCGCGCATGTCGCGATCGTAGATGCCCGGCAGGCGCATGAAGGGGTTGGCCGCTATCAGGATGCTGCCCGTGTACGTCTGGGAGGGGTAGAGAAGGAGGGACGGCCGGAGGGTGCGGAGCACGTGCGTGTTATGCACCGCACCGCACTATACTAGCGCACTGCACTGCTATGAAGGGGTGTGGCGCATGTGACGGTCGTAGGTGCCTGGCAGCCACATGAAGGGGCTGGCTGCTATCAGGATGCCGCCCCATGCATGTCTGGGGAAGCGGGAGGGGAGAGGAGGAGGGAGGGGGTGCCACGTCTGCAGGTCAGGAGATGAACGAGGTTTCGGGGGAAACGAGGTGGGGGGCGGGGGAGACAAGAGCTTGTGCAGGATGCATGTGTACATACAGGCATACCACAGCACAAGTACGGGATGCCCCTTCCCCCCTCCCCTTACGCACATAGATGAGGTTGCGCTGGTAGCGCTGCATGAGGTTGTGCAGCACGCCCGGCTCGTGCAGGTAGGCGAGCTTCACCATGTCGTCCACCACCGCACTCTCCTCCTCTCGCGCAGAGCACGACCCCTCGCCCACCACCACCTGCCGCGCATGGCAGTGCCCCCAGGCGAGAGAAACGCGAGAGCGGATAGCACAGGAGGGACAGAAGGCAGGAAGGGGTGAGGGCGGTGGAGTGATGCGCCAATCACGGCACCCCCCCCGCCTCTAAAGCTGCTGTCGTACATGCGTCCCTCCGTGGCTCGCTTAACCATGCCATGGCATCCACCACGCCACGCTTCTCTCCTCCTCGCCGTTCGCACTCGCCCTCGCCCACCACCACCCGTGGGGCGCATGGCACGCACAGCAGGGGTGAGGGCACGGGAGGGAGGGAGGGGATGGGAGAGCAGGGGTGGAGAAGGGAGGAGAGGACAGGGGAAAGGAAAGGAGGGGAGGGGAGGGGAGGGACGAGAGTCAGGGAGGGGAAAGAGGATGGCATGTGAGGGAGGAGAGGGGTGTACAGAGAGGCGTGACTCACGGGTGACCTCCACCTCAGAGAGGCGTGACTCACGGGTGACCTCCACCTCAGAGAGGCGTGACTCACGGGTGACCTCCACCTCAGAGAGGCGTGACTCACGGGTGACCTCCACCTCAGAGAGGCGTGACTCACGGGTGACCTCCACCTCAGAGAGGCGTGACTCACGGGTGACCTCCACCTCAGAGAGGCGTGACTCACGGGTGACCTCCACCTCAGAGAGGCGTGACTCACGGGTGACCTCCACCTCAGAGAGGCGTGACTCACGGGTGACCTCCACCTCAGAGAGGCGTGACTCACGGGTGACCTCCACCTCAGAGAGGCGTGACTCACGGGTGACCTCCACCTCAGAGAGGCGTGACTCACGGGTGACCTCCACCTCAGAGAGGCGTGACTCACGGGTGACCTCCACCTCAGAGAGGCGTGACTCACGGGTGACCTCCACCTCAGAGAGGCGTGACTCACGGGTGACCTCCACCTCAGAGAGGCGTGACTCACGGGTGACCTCCACCTCAGAGAGGCGTGACTCACGGGTGACCTCCACCTCAGAGAGGCGTGACTCACGGGTGACCTCCACCTCCACCTCAGAGACGCTAAAGCTACTCTCCTCCAGCCCTTTCATGATTAGCGATGGGATACGGTGGGGCGCGAATGACGTATGGGATGGGGATATAATGGGGTATGGGGACAAGGCATGGGGTAAACACTATATTGAACAGGGGTGTTATTTTATAGAGAGGAGGGGACGGAGTCACCTCCTGCCCCTCCCAGCCTCACTGTCAGTCACCTCCCCCCCGCTTGCTCACTGAGTGACTCCCTCTCTGCAACTCACATGTCCCCCGCCCCCCTGCCAGCCACCTTCCCTGCTCCCCCATTTCAAACCCCCTGTCCCTCACCTCCGTCCAGCCCCACGGTGAGCCAGCAACTCACTCCCGCCCTTCCTTCCACACTGCTACTGCTACCTTCCCCTCTCACTGAATCCCTCTATGTGATTCGCATGCCCTGCCCTGGCCTGGCCTCACCTGGGTTGGGCTGGGTTGGCCGCCCACCTCCCCTGCTCCCCATCTCCTACCCCACTGTCACTTGCTGCATCCGCTCAGCCCCACGGTAATTCACCTGCCTGTCCCCTTTCCCCCTTCCACACACCTACTGTCCCAAAGCCCCCCTCGTGGTGACTCATCTCCTACCTGCCTGGCCCTTGAAGCGTCCACCATGCACCACAGTTAGCTGTGGCCCCCTCCGTTGCGTACAGCTACTGCCCCCTCTCCCCTCCCCCCCACATTCCCCTGTTCCTCCCAGCCCCTCCTATGCCTTGCGTCGTACTCGCCTGGCCCTTGCCGCCTGAGCCCAGCGCCACAGTGAGCTGCCAGTTCCTCCCGTCCCTCGCCACCACTCTCCCCCACCTCCCCCCCCCACCTTCTCCCCCCTCATGTCGTACTCGCCTGGCCCTTGCCGCCTGAGCCCAGCGCCACAGTGAGCTGGGAGCTCCCGCGGTCCCTCGCCACCACCTCGCCCTCCTCCCACGCATCCGCTGCATCCGGCACCCACACCTTCGACCCTACCGTGAACAGGTGCTGCTGCGAACCCTGTGGGAAGGGAGGGAGATGGGACAGGGGAAGAGGGCAGGAGACGAATGGACAACGGAAGGGGTGTGCGCACTGCGTGGGGCGGCCACAACATGAAGCCCACTGTGAATACTAGGTGCTGCTGTGAACCCTGCACGCACAGGGCAGAGGCAGAGGAGGGCAGGGTGAGGCAACGGGTGAGGTCGTGAGGCGGAACCGGATGGAAAGAGCAAGACAAGGGGAGGCGCCGAGATGGGTGGGCACACTGCGCAGGGCGCCCACTCCGTGGACTGGCACGTGACGTGATGCAGGTGTGTTTGTCTGACGCGTCTCCAAACTACTCTTTTATCCCACCGGACACCGTGCGCCCATTCCGTGGACTTGGACCCCATGACACGTGTGGGCGCTATGCACTGCAGGATGGAAGTGGGGCGGGGACGGGGGGAGAAGGGCCGGACAGTAGGAGAGCAAGACAAGAGGAGGGGCCAAAGTGGTTGGGCGCCCTGCATGGGGCGGGCAGGCGCACCTTGGACTTGGGCCCCGCCGTGAACATCACGTGCTGCTGGCAGCCCTGGGGTGGGACGGGGGAGGGGGGCAGGAGGAGGGGAAACAACGGGACAAGGGATGGGGCGAATCTGGATGGGAAATTGTTGGGGGAGAGGGGGGAGAGGGGGGGAGCGGTGGGGGGCGGGAAGTGCGATGATGGCGGCAGCAGACTGAGTGGAGAAGGCGGGCAGCGTGCGGGACAGCGGATAGGGCAGGGGAAGCATGGGTAGCACGCACGCATTCAAAAGCGGGTAGCGCAAGGGGGCGTAAGGAAAGGCGGGTGGCGCAAGGGAAAAAGGGGTTAGCACAAGTGAAAATGGGGTAGCGCAATGGGTAAAAAGGGATAGCGCAAGGGAAAAGTGGGGTAGTGCAAGGGAAATGGGGGCAGCGAAAGGGAAAATGAGGGTAGCACAAAGGAAAATGGGGGTAGGGCAACTTGGAAAAAAAGGGGTAGCGCAAGGGAAAACGGGGGTGGCGCAAGGGAAACGGGGTTAGCACAAGTGAAAATGGGGTAGCGCAATGGGTAAAAAGGGATAGCGCAAGGGAAAAGTGGGGTAGTGCAAGGGAAATGGGGGCAGCGAAAGGGAAAATGAGGGTAGCACAAAGGAAAATGGGGGTAGGGCAACTTGGAAAAAAAGGGGTAGCGCAAGGGAAAACGGGGGTGGCGCAAGGGAAACGGGGTTAGCGCAAGGGAAAACAGGGGTAGCGCAAGGGGAAACTGGAATAGCGCAAGGAAAAGGCGGGTAGCGCATGAGGAATGCGGGCAGCGAGCAACGATACGGACTATCCATGGCGCTGGATCGCACCGCCATCCGCTAGGCAGGGGGGGGGAGAGGGCGGAAAGCGAGAATCGTGCTCGGAGGTGGGCGCGGAGTTGGGTCAGGGAAGGTGGAAGAGGGGGAAGTATCAATGTGACACGGCGCGCGACAATGAGAGACGTCCCACGCGCCACGCACGAGCTGCGTCACACGTTTCCTGGAAGTATTGCGCGCAAGGGTTGCGCGCGGCTGCTGCTGCTGGCGCGGCGGAGCAGCAGCGGCAAGAGCAGGAAGAGGAGCACGTCGGCCATTTGCGAATCACGTTTGAGAATTCTCAAAAGTAACAGCTCCCACGTCGGCCGGCAGACGTTCGTCGCTGGCGCGAGCGCGCCGCTACCCGCCGCTCGATTCCAAGGCTGTTGATTTCACGGAATCGACGGTCGGCGAACGGCCACCGCGCGATCGTCGCGGGGACACAAATCGACGGTCACGGACAGATCGCCGCACACGGCACGTTGCATGTTCACCCGGCCCCGCCGCGTCGTCTTGTGATGCTACACCGTTCACCACTTGATGTTCACATTTCACCTATGGATTCCCCACAGAACACCATTGGATTCCCGACACACAATCGTTGAACACCATTGCAACACCATGGGATGCTCCGCGAATCACTCACCATGGCTGAACGCGGAACGGCTACTCGCAAAGGCGGAAACTCTTCCGATCACGGCTCCAATAATCGACGGTTCGCCTCTACCGATCGCGACTGGCGGCTACCCGCAGCCGCGCTTCATCGAGCTCCAGGTTTGCCGAGAATGCGCTGCTCGGTACGTAGTACCTTCGAATGCCAATCCTGCTCGCGAATGCTATCGACGACAATGTGGACCCGATGCCCTCGAACGCTATCGACCGCGCCTATACCCTTCGTTTGACTGCTAACCACGTCAGTGATGCGGGAATATGGGGTTGTGCCGGGTGGATAGCGATGAGTTCAATGCGGAGCTGTTAAGTTACGGCGATCGCGCATACGACGTACAAAGGCATCGGCGATGAGCATTACGCGACTTCGAGATTGCATGCTCTAGCATACGGAGAACGGCATTGACGGATGGCCAGGGCCAACGAGCGGAAAGTCGACCTAGCACGCAAGAGCGAGTGATCAGCGACGGCAGTGAAAACAGCCGGCGTGCGCTGAGAGAACGGAAGCGACTACCGCCAAGTCAAGGCAATGCGCGAGAGGAGCGGCACGAGTGGATTGCAGAAGGCAGGAATACGAAGTTATCTTGCTTTGCGACGAAAGTTATACAACAATCGCCTCCCAGACAGTGACCTTCCAGTAATCATTGTTGAGGAACAATGGTGTGGGAGGCAAGGCGGTGGTTGATGTGGGTGCAGAGGAAGCGAGAGCTTTGAGAGTGACGTGACGATACAGTGACTGTGGCTCGGGATGACATAACTTTGTGGACGACAGGATGGTTCACCATGGCTACCCCTATTTCAGAGGAATCTGGGGTATTGTACGAATCACCCTTTCACGCAGTCCGAGCATTTACGAAATAAGCGAAGTTCGAGCCTCGAGGGCACAGGGTTAACCTTGGATTAAACTTGAATCCGGCAGGGTCCTCAAAACACATTCTGAGGGTTTGTGACAGCAACAACACCAAGGTTTTGACGGACTAACTTGGGGAATCGCCCATCGTGAAGATGCTGCAACCCTTTGCGAAAGTTGAAAGGACGAAAGGAGCTGGGTTCGGCGTCGTCTAACAGCACCGACCGCCACATGTACGTCACAGCTTATGATTGGAGAATTAGTTTAGTCAAGAACGCTCCACCAATGAGAGGAACAATGATGCCACTCCACTTCCTCTCTTCCTCTATTGGTGTTATGATTTGTACTAAACAGAGTGTGCGGAAGACTTTACAGAATCACAGCATGATCAAGAATGATAAAGAGGCATGCATTTATAGGGTCGAAACCGTGCCAGGCGAGGACCTCGGGACGTGGATGGGTTGGAAGTGTCGCGATTGGTGCGGGGCGACTCGGCAGTGGTTCGGGCTGAATGAAGGCCGAACCGGAATCTGACGCGAAGAGCTCTATACTCGCTAGGAGCAGCTTCGGCAGTAATGAAGGTATATTCATTACACTCTCCCACCTTCTAGATAAGGTCCCCTTATATGTAGACGAGTCTTGCAGTAGCGTGAAAACTGCAGATCTCCGTCGAAACTGATCTGACGGTGTTTGATAGCGTTGACTGTCGAGTTGACGCGAGGCTGACTTGTTGACCAGGCGAAATTAGAATGTCAGCCGTCGAAGTTTCCAGATGTCGATCTCGCGGTTGAATCGAATGTCGTGATGAAAATCCGCGAAGAAACGTGAGTCGTTGATGAAGCGGATTGCGATCGTACGGTAGTGACGCTGGCGTGGTTCTGACACAGTGTCAGATGTCAGTGAATCGGGAGTCGTTGATGTCGTTGAAGCCATCGCGCGCGTCGGTCGTGTTGAAGGTGTCAGACGAGACTGTCAGAAAACTGTTGAGTGAAAACAGTGCGATGGCACTTTCTCCCCCCCTCCAAGATAATACTGCCCACTGAAATGTGCACAGCTGCGCGGGTACGAAACTCCAACCACCCTGACGCCGAGGGTAGAACAGAATACCAAGTATTATTGACCCCCTCTAGATTTTAGCAGCTGCTGGTCGAAGTTGTAGTCTGTGGCGAAATCTCCACTGTCAAGAACTTTGAAGATTACCCCGGGTAAACCTCTGTCGAAACCGTAGTATAACTTTCCCGATGAAAACTTTCTTGCTGTCACGAATGTATTCTGACTGCTGCAGTTTCCCCAGCTGGCAGAATCTGCAATCCGAAAATCCCTGCTGCTGTCTTTTTGTCGCAACTGCTGCTGCAGCATCTGCAGTCCGAAATCCAGTTCGTTGTCTCGTTGCTGTGGCAGAATCAAAATCCTCGATTGCTGCAGCATCTCCAACCCTCAGCAGCTGCCACCCGAAAATCACGTTTGTCTTTTGTTGAAAATCAAAACCATCTCAAAATGTCGGTGGTCGTGCCTCCGGATCGATGAAGTGCGCCGCTGCAAAGATTCGCGAAGTCAACGAAGTCGGTGTAGCGTATGAGCGACAGTCGGCGAGAGAAGCGAGGTCACGTAACCAGCCGGTTGTTAATCTTGAAAATTCAATCGAAACCCCCGAACTCAGGTTGATATGACGTCAGCACCATCGGCGATTTTGTCAAGACTCACAGAGGTCGTTGTCGTGACTCTCCGAAAACTCCCGGGCAGAGGCGAAAAACAGCTGCTGCTCTTCCCCCTGACCTCGCAAATAACCTTTTCAAGTCGAACTCGAACTGCCGATGACGTCAGCTGCACTGTCGGCGTTGTCGTGACTCGCCGAACTCATCCGGGCAGGGGCGAAAACAGCTGTCGTCCCCTCCCTCCACCTGTTGCGATTTTTCACCAGTGTTGTCGTTGGTACCCCCGAGCAGCTTCCGAATTGTAGGGCTACACATTTGACGACGAGTGCCTTCGCGCGCTTAATCAAGCAACGCTGCAACTCGGCCGTCGGCACGGATACTGTCAGCGTCCCCGCTGACTTCGTTAAGACTCATTCTCGGAACTGCTGGGTGTACCCGCAAATGTCGGAAATGGACCACACCACGTAAATCTCGGTCGCCTGCAGGTTGTCCTCCGAAAGAACCGGTGTGTCTAGCACGCCCACCCGGTCACCATTTTTTTTTTTGTGGTTAACCACCCAAGCGACACACCAATAGGAGGTGCTTTTTCGGCGTGGAACCCAGTACTTATGGGTCTTCCGAGACCGATTTTCACGGACCCTAGCGTGCATCAACGCCGCAGATCTCGCCGTTGAACTCCCCCAGGTAACTCCTTACGTAGCCCGCAACTCTTCTGGCGAGCAGACGTTCACCCGTCTCCCACCGTAATTTTTTTCGTTTCACCCCCCGACAATATCGGCGAGCCACCGTTCACCCAGCAGCCGCGTTTGTCGGATGAGGCATAACTCCGTGTTGCCCGCGATTTTTATGGCATTCGATGAAGGCGCGAACACGTACCCGGGGTGAGTTTATCGTATCAAACGCCCGCCCGGCCGCTTCGCTGCCCACCGTGCCTATCTCACTTAAAACTCCACAGCTTCCGGAGATCTTCGCCGCTACACCGCCCTTGGGTAGACCGTTGAATCAGGAGAAACTCCGACAGCTGCCACGATTTCTTCAACTCCGACTTTTTCGGCAGGGGAAACGTTGCCGATGGTCCGTTTTTGTCGAGGCCGAAACAGTGTCGCATCCCTGAGATTTTCTTGTACGCCCTGCTGACGAACCAGCGCCACCCACGCCTTTCTAACCAGCACAGGGCTAAACACAGGGCCCCACTTTATTCGTCTAGGACCAACAGGTCTTATAACGCCTTCAAGGTACCTGGTGTGAGGTATGTGAAACGTCGTAACACCTTGGCCGGTAGGGAGCTCGTTCTGCTACCGCCGCTTAGCCGCGTAACCCGGCCTCAGCAAAAAGTCTTTCTGTAGGTCGCTTTTCTCGCCTCCTGAAGTCGGAACCCGTGTCTCTCGTCGGACCCGTATTAGTCGCAACTCCGTTTATTGTCGCCGGTAGAACCCCCGAAAATCGCGGGTCTAAACGCTGCGCCGAATCGTTGTTCCGTGGTGTACTGGGCTATCTGCAAACACAGGTACCTCTGGCCGGAGGGAACTGTGCCGCCTGAAGTGCAGAATCGGCTGCCATTGTTGCTCCGAAAATTTCGCCGATTATCATTGTGCCAGAAAGAGTAGTCACCCGAGCCGGAACAGTCTAATCGTAGGCAGATTTTTCCGAACTTTTCGGTGGTTTGAAGAACGACTTCCGTCCCACACTGTGCCGCTCTGCCGAAAAACGCCCACGACGCACCCACCCGGGCGGGACGACGGTAGACCCCCGCTTTCTTCGGGCAGTCGCCACGCCGCCTCTCCTCATCGTCGGTTTTTCTGACGCAAATCACACATTGCGCCTGG